GAAAACAAGAGAGCACATTACCCAAGTATGTCCTGCACAATGGAAATGCCTTGAGATTTATTTCATAATTAAAGGTTGGGTAGCTTCTGAAAAACTGTGATCAGCCAAGCAAAAATTTTAGAAAATTTTTGAGTAATTTTAGAGGAATGCCACTTTTATGTTAAATATACGGATAGAAATCAAGTCTTAATTTAGAAACCAGAAATTTCTTTTAAGAAAAGGAAAAAAAAAGAAGACTTCATTGCTAAGGTATAAGCCCATTTTGCAATCTATTCTTTAACCTTTTTTAAAAATTCAGATACACTAATGAACTTCTTTTATTAGATGATTTAGAAATCAGTTAAAATATCAAGTATTGGTAATGACTCAAAAATAGTATTATATAAGCCTACAATTGAGAACATTTTCTTGAAAAATTTCTTCCACAAATGAAAAACATAAAAATATCCCATGTTTATATTCTAGATACCTTCTGACTTCTCAAGAACCTGACAACTTAGAAACAATGTAGGAAAAAAACTGGCTGATTCAAAACAAAGAATTCTTCCAAATTATTTCACTATTATTTCAGAATAATGTAAATAATTTTGTATTGTAATCAAATGACAATAAGCTCAAATTAAGAGAAAACATCAGTGTGACATGGTTTTGCTAAATCTCAACAGACTTTTTTTTTTAAAGCAATGGATAGCCAAAGAAAGTTATTAATATTAACACAGATAATGGCAGAAAACTACAGAAACTCCAAATACAGAAAGGCTGTTCATGTATCCTAACAGCATAACCATTATGGTTGAAAAACTACACAATATTCTTTCTCACATCTGTTTTGTTAATGAGCCAAGGATGGGGGTCTATTGGGTATCCTAGACAACTGAATTAGAAGTAGGAATGTCTGGTGAATGCTGTTTATCCCAACAAACTGAGACTACATAGGTTTAGAAAGAATACTATTCTTAAATTATATTTTTAGTTTTACCTTCTCCCAAAATGAACTATCACTTGCCTTATTCTCCCATCTATCAAAAAAAACACAAAAAACAAAAAACTTATAAATTACTTTAGATCTTAGGTGTTTTTTTTTTAATATTTTTATTTATTTTTTTCCAACAGAGAGAGAGACAGCGAGAGAGGGAACACAAGCAGGGGGAGTGGGAGAGGGAGAAGCAGGCTTCCCGCGGAGCAGGGAGCCCAATGTGGGACTCGATCCCAGGACCCTGGGATCATGACCTGAGCTGAAGGCAGACGCTTAACGACTGAGCCACCCAGGCGCCCTTTAGATCTTAGTTTTAAGTATTATTAGAGAAAATGTTTCGTTAGATTAACAAAATATTTAATTACTTCATCTTTCAGATAGATCCTCAAATATTTTAAGACTATAAGAACCTATGTGAAAAAAGATGGCTATAATATGAAGAAACACAGTCTTCAACTAGAATACAATAGTTTTATGACAGTTTAGCAAGAATTCTATTCTGAACTATGGTTTTTCCATATACAACAGAGACCTTTTCCAGGAAATGTCCCCTTTACAGGGCCCCAGGCCTCTCTGCATGCTATCAGGCCAGGCTTATAGAACCAAACGAACACAATGTCCCCACTGGAAAACACTATTGAATATAACCTAAATTTAAATTCACAACTTGGTACATAAAATTTTCCAAAAGAGCAAAAGGGAGTAGCATCTTGAAATGATTTCATTCATTCTAGCAGCTTTCCTAAATTACTTAATTCCTTAATTTTTTTTCCTCTTTTGAATAGAGATTTACTAGTTTGAAATCTGGCTTAGAAATTTAAAGAGTGGGGCGCCTGGGTGGCTCAGTCAGTTAAGCGGCTGCCTTTGGCTCAGGTCATGATCCCAGGGTCCTGGGATCGAGCCCCGCATCAGGCTCCATGCTCGCATCGGGCTCCATGCTCAGCAGAAGCCTGCTTCTCCCTCTCCCACTCCCCCTACTCTCTGGCGCGCGCGGTCTCTCTCTCTGTCAAATACATAAATAAAATCTTTAAAAAAAAAAAAAAGAAATTTAAAGAGTGATCAGGGTGATGGAATCATGGATAATGTTTAAAAGTTTTCATCACATTAAGCAAATCACGTTTGAGGGTTACTTATATGTTCTTTTTCTCCTTTAAGTCTTTGTTTAAAAGAACAAAGTTGTTTCTTGCCTCCTTTTCAATTTTCCCTCAGGGGAAAAAAAATCCATCACTGTAAGAGAAATTCAATTCTAAAACAAAAATCAAAATAATCTTGCATATTTTTGTTAAAATAGTAGCAAATAGTTTGTTAAAAGAGCAGCAAAATAGTTTGTTAAAAGAGCAGCAAAATAGTAGGAAAAAGTTATGGTGGCCACTCAAGAACAGCACAAACTTAAATTTAAGTGGCAACCAAGTAGAAAAACCTTTTGCATGTTCAAAATTCATGCCCTCCAGACAGAGCAGCATTTTGACAATTTTTCTTCAAGACAAAAATCTACAAATGAGAAAGCATATCCCACAGTGATTAAAAAAGATTATTTTAAATATTAAACTGAGAACCTAATGGCATTATATATTTTAGTATTTTGAATCCACAACTTTTATTCATCTCATTCAAACTTAGTTTCCATATATGCAACTTCTGTTCCTTTGGAACTTGTTCTCAAATGATTTTTCTAGATTATTTTATTATTATTTTTAAGTAGGCTCCACGTGTGGAGCCCAACGTGGGGCTTTAACTCATGACCCTAAGACCAAGACTGAGCTGGGAAAGACTTAAGACAAGGGACTGAGCTACCCAGGTGACCCTAGATTTTTATTAGTAAAGAAATGCAGAGCCTTAAGACCACTTTGCAGATCCAAACATGAACTTAAAAGTATCACTAAGAAACATGGTCTATTCACTCCTGCAACACTGTATAAGACAACTACCAAACATATCAAATCACTTTGCATATCATTAATTTAAAGTAACAGTAAACGTTTTTCTTCCATTGGTAGGTGAGTACAATTCCTTCTGCCCTAAACAATAGTCTGACATCACCTAAACATACAGACTAGAGTAGTAAGGTTCTAAAACACTGCTACTCAGGAGAACAGATATCTCAATGAACATTTCTGCTGCTTCTATTGACACTTACTTAGAATTAAAACATATACTTTTAGTCCAAATGTAACTAAACTCTAAAAAACAGGGTTTCATCAGAAGTTCCTCTAGCCAAGGAGTCACAGGCACAGAAACAAAACTATTGTTATATTTAAAAACCAACTGTGCCAGCTTCTCTGGTTAAATGAAAGTTCACAAAGTTCTAAATCAGAACAATGTACAGGACACCCTAAAAAATAACTTAAAGTATTACATGCAAAAAAGGAAGACAAATACTAACTTTTAGTGAGGAATGGTTCACCAAGAAACAATTATATAGCATTTGTATCCTAAGTCCAAGTCCTCCAATGTAATTTAAGTTTTCTATGTATCTTCTCAACAACTAGAATTTAAAACATCCTATCAGAAGGTAATACCTAAGAATCTCCACACACACACAAAAAACCCTTAGAACAAAATTGGAGCAAAGATCCAACATTTACTCAACAAACTACCAGAGAACATTTATGTCTAAAAAAGTGTTTTTAAGTAATCTCTACACCCAAGGTGGGGCTCAAACTCACAAATGAGATCAAGTGTCACGTGCTCTACCAACTGAGCCAACAAGGCACGCAGATGTCTAAAACATTTTAAACCAAAATATGTACCTGTCAAATTCTTTTTTTTTTAGTGTTATTTTTAAGTAATCTCCACATCCAATGTGCGGCTCGAACTCACAACCCTGAGATCAAGAGTCTCATGCTCCACCAACTAAGCCAGGCGGGCACCCCGGTACCTGTCAAATACTTGATTTAAAACTCAGTTGCATGTTTTGCCCAACTATGCTTTCAATTTCACAATGCAGCGTAACAATTACATAAGTCTCAGGAAGAATGAAAATTTTGTTTTTGATGATGACAATTCTGAGCCAAATAATAATACTTCATCTTCATTAGACTACAGTTAATCATGTATAAACTGCAATGAAGAGCAAACTTTGAGTTTCAAGATGGTCAAGCATATGGCTGATATTATCTAATTCTACCTCCTCAGATGTGAAGATAGTTAAACGGGTATATATTTCAGTAATGGCATATGCAAAAAGAAGATGTAAAACTTATCTATAGCTCAGGAATTCACAGGAGCATTTACTGAATCATACTTGGCTAGCTGGACCAGTTGGCTAGGTGATTGGACTTCAGAAGTATTTTCTAAGACGTTGTCCATACATTGGGGCATAATTTCATATGAAAAACCCAAAAGAGAAAAAAACTAAAAAACAAAAACTATCTTTAAAACTCAGGGTGATTAATAAAGTATTTAACTTTCATGCTTTGTTTTCCAGGCTTGACAAGAGGACAGTTATGTAAAAGTCACCCATAGCCCTAGATCATTATATTCACTAAACAATATGATACAAAATTAAAAAACAAAGCCAGGCACAGTTTCAGAAATATACAAATCAATGATAAACAAATGAAAGTATAAAACTCTTCACAATCTATAGACAAAGTATCCCTTTTTAAGAAAATATGATGACAAAAAATGAAGCATGCAAAAGAGAAATGGGAGAAAAGGATTAGAGAAAATTTCATATAATAAAACTTGCAATAATCCCCTCTCCCCATCCCATCTCTACAAATTTGTGCTGTTTGCATCTATTGACAATTATACGTCTTAACCTAATTAACAGATCCTTTATCATCATTAGGTCACTGGTTTCTTTTATTATTTAAGTTTCTCTCATATTCAAGTACCTCCCAAACTGGCAAAACGAGATGTGAAATTCAGGAACTTGTGATCCCATCAGTAACAAGACACCCCCTACCTCAATGTTTTGAAAATTAACTTATAAATGTGTTACTGTCTGGATAAAACATACTATGAAATTTAACATATTAAGTATGATCTTTTGGAAAGCAAACCATTATGTAACACCTACTTTATATCTCTCAATTAATTACTTCCGAATCATAAAGAGTGCTTTTTCTTTTTCAAGGTAAGTACTGCCCATGTTGCAATTTTTCTCAAGACTGCCGTTTTCCTAAGGAGAGAAAGCAGTTTTTTTAAATTCCAAATTTCCAGGAATATGATAACCGCTTCTCTAGGGAATAGGGAATGAAAAAAAATATTGTCAGCAATTTTAAGATCCACCTCCTCACGTAAGCAGTAATCCGGGCCAATATGACATTTCCGAAATCCTCGGGAACTACATACCATGCTGCCACAAACATCAGAAGAGAACTCGGGGATGGAGGAAATGCCATCTTGCATTTGACGTTGTGCTTACACCTATTTAAAACTTAATTCCCACCGTTATCTCCATGTAGCTTCACAACTACCCTAAGAGGTGAGAGAGAGCCGACCGCCCAGTGCCTCCTTGGGACACACAACCCGGTTAAAGGAAGCGCACACCGTTACACCTTCAATCGGAATAACAAAAGCGACGACAAACCCTTCTAGACTCGAGAAAAAAAAGAGTAATATCGCCTGGAGAACCCCAAACTTCAATCCTTTAAGCAGTGTCCCCTCCCCACAGTTTCGCCTACTCGGGGGCCCCGGGGAACTGCGGCGGGTCTGCGGGGAGGCGGAGGAGGGGCCGGGCGGGGGACGGGAGGAGAAGCCGCCCGGACCGCGCTCACCACGCGCACCTGGGCCGGGAGGGAGCGACGATGCTCTGGGGATAACCCCCGCCCACTGGGCCAGCCGCTCGGACTTGCTCACCTGCGGAGCCGATTTCCATTCATGGAGCTGGGGGGAGTGCTTCGAACGAGAAGGGCGCCCACCACTGGGGGCAAGGAGGCAGCGCAGGGGGCGACGCGGTGCGACAGGCACCCTCACTCGGCCCTAGGACGAGCTGGCGATGGCTTCTCCTCAGCAACCGCACTCCGAAAGCTCTTGTCGGGAAGAGCCGCCGTGGGGAGGCAGCACGCGACTATGCGAGAGGAAGGAGAAGCGTGAGACGAGAAAAGGAGTGCCCCGTGCGGAACTTGCGTCGCCCGCGGCCGCTGACGCTCCCACCTCCCCTCCACGACTGCGGCGCCGCCGCCGACCTCCCCGGGGGCCGCCCCCGGAAACCCGCTGGCGTCAGTTCCGCTGCCCGGGCTCGCCCGACGTCCAAGCCTCGCCTCTCCGCCCCAAGCCGTGCGGGCGCGACGTCGGTGCGGGCGCGGCCGGCGCGGAGGACGCGGGGGAGGTGTCGGGGAGCGGGGGCCGGGCCTGGGCGGAGCTTGGGGCACGCGCGGCGGGCGGGCCCTCCCACGGTCTTCTGCCGGGCCGTGCCTGCCGGAGACAACTCGGAGGAGCTGGACTCGTAGCACCACCCCAGCGTGGGGCGGTGCCTGCCGGAGGCGACGTCGCAGGGGGTGGTGTAGCTTACCTGGGGAGGAGCCTACCTGGAGCGTGGCCGGTCTGTGGTGCGGGGCCCCGACCCGCAGCGCAGTGACCGGGGCCGAACACGTCTAGGGCAGAGCCGCCCTCCTTACGGAGCCCTCCCGCCCCGCCCAGCTTGGGCGGCACCTCGCGCCTCCTCCTCAGTAAGCGGTCAAGTGACCACCACAATTGATCATTCCGAGTCTGTTGCTTTGACGACCGTGGAGGGAGGGAGGCGGGGGTATGTACAGTTTAGCTTGGGAAAAGAGTATTGAGAAACAAGACATTACACAAACATCACATCGGATAATTTCCTCGTTTAGAACGCTTTAATAGCGTCTCGTCACACTGAGGTCAAACTCTTCCAGGACCAAAACGCACCGAGTAAACGGACACTTCCTTTCTCCTCAACAAGACTTTCCCTCACCACTATGCTACAGCTATACTGGTCTGCTTCTGATTCCCACTATGGGCAAAACGCATCCCTTTCCGACTCGGCGCCCCTCTGCTTTTGGTTCTCTTGGCCAGGAGCAGAGCCTCTCCTTTCCCTCCACCCTCACGTTGTCTTCTTCCCTCCCCTGCCCGCCGCTTCTTTTTCTCTCTCAACCTTATTTCAGAGAGGTCTTTTCCCGGACCACTGATCTACCGTGGAGGCCCATTTTTCTATTACAGCATTTCCCTAATAATCCTCCCAATCTGTAATTTGTTTTACTTACTAGTTTGTGTGCCCCCTCCTGGACTAGCTTGTAAGCTTTATAAGCTTACCGTGGCCAGCACACTCACTAGGAAATAGTAGGTCCTTAATATGTTGCTTGACTGAAGATTCATGATTTTTACCTATGTTCCTAAACATCAATAATGTCATTTAGACTTTTAAAAAATCAAAGTATTTTGTTTTTTAAAGTTTGGGGTATAGAACAAAAGTATCCTGTCTTCAGTTCCTCCCAATCACTGTGGGACTTCGGATCAGTCGCTTGAGCCTCTTAGCTGAGAAATGGAGAGACTAACCTACCTTGCACAATTGTTGTGAGGTTAGGGAATGCACATAAACCAGAACAAACCCTCCCTAACTAAATGTTAGTGAATAAAGTTTACCATCATTAACATTTTAAAGCACTTATTAGATGCACCTACCTTAAAGTGAACATTTCATAAATGGATGGGATTCAAACCCTCATCTGACTTCAGTTCGGCCTCACTACTTCCCACCCTTAACCCTTTTACAGAATTTCAATTTCAAAGTATCAAATTAAATGTTACCAGATGAAACACTGTATCCTAAAAGTTATTTTCAATACCTGACTATACAGAATGCAAGTCAGTAGCATCATCCCCACAGGGTAAATACCAACTCTTGTGCAAGGGTCTATCACACCCTCAACCCCCCATTCTGGAACTGATTCCCTAAGTGATTACAGGCTTATCCTCTCCCAGAATAGACATGGTGATGGGTGATGAACCCTTGAGGTAGGCCACTGTCTTCTTTGTTGACCTTGATTAAGCAGGATTTGGACCTCCTAACTCAGTTTGATTTAGTATCCCATCTACTTCTGCTATTCAGGGACCCCACCACCTCTTTAGAGTGAGCCTATGTGAAAAGTACATTAAGTGTAATATCAAGAAGTAGGAAGGCAAAAGGTCTAATGATTCTGCCAAAAGCAAATTGTATGAGGCTCTCCCCCGACCACACGCACACCCTATTTTTGGATAACCTCATTCCCAAACAAGTTGGCTCTTAAGGCCATTGAGCAGGATCTTTGTGTATCTTAACTGCCATAGCCCCACTGCCTAGAACAGTGCCAGTGCCTGGCACATAGCAACATTCCATGATTTATGGGATGGATGGATGAATGAATGGGCTTCAAGAATGGGGCTCAGGAAGCAGGCTAAAACTCTGCCCTCATCCCTTCTGGCACTGGTTGCTTTCAGAAGGGAGAACTATAAAATAGTACAGACATCTGAGGGACAAGGAAACCAGTGCCCTCCGAAAGCTGCATTCCTAGGCTTCCTGTGTTAGATAAACATCACCACTGGATGATGAGAGCAACTGGATAGAATCCTCTCTTACATGGGGGTTGAAGTTACTCAATTTGACTCGAATTTAAATTTCTTCTCCCAGACCATCAGTTTTTACATAGCAGCAAGTTATTTTATACTGTAGGAGAACACATTATAAAACATAGTGGCCTTAGGGACAAAGCTGAGACTGAAGGCTCTCTGCTAATGTATGTGATTCCAAAAAGTCACTCTGAACCTTACGTTCCTCATCTCTAAAAGCCAGAGTACCCAAGTAGAGAAGACACTGCTGGATACCTACCCAGGAGCCCTAATCCCCTTCTTTCTTGCCTAGCAGACCAGACTTGTCTTTCTAATCCACAGACTGATGAAGCACGGTAACTGCTCAGAGGGTAACTCCTAATTAATCTAAGCCACTCATGATGAATGATCTCATTTGCTCTGCCAATGACAGGAGTGAGAAGATGACCCATTTTTAGTGAATAAGATAGGAGGCCAGATCTGCTGGGGCTTCCAAGGATTTTCTTACTTTAAAATGAAATGTAAGGAAAAATTAGTCCCTTTTCTGTTACACATTATTCTGTCAGCATTTCCTTCCTGGAATTGCAGTAGCCACCTTGGGACCCTGAGGCAAACTAGCATGAGGATAAACCAACAAAGAATAGCAGAGGAAAGTCACTGCAAGAACCTGCTTTGTTGGTATTATCACTGAGCCACTGAATTAACCAACCTTGGAGCCATACTAAATCAAGACTTCTTTGTCATGTTACAGGTTTCTTATTTAAGCCAATTTAATTGGTGGTTTGTTATGTGCAATTGAAAGGAACAGATAAACTACTTCACACGAATGCTGTGAAGATGCAATTAAATAAGATAACAGAGACTGTACAAAACACCTACTCATATACTTCCAAGTATCCAAAGCTGCTGCTCCTTTTCAGATCACTTCCCTTAACAAGCCATTGGCCTTTTCCAAAAACATGGCTAGGAACTCCCACTGTCTCTTTTAAGAGAAAGTTCCTTGCCTTCAGAAGGTGGGGAAGAGGAATGGAGGGCTCCCTAGAAAGATCCCTCAAGACTTTTGTCCAAAAAAGACTGCCAAGAGGATAGTGCTGAAGCTCCTGCAGTCTAGAACAAAGGGACAGTGTATTACTGCAAGGTAAACCACGGTGGTCTAAAAACCAGATATCCTGGGGAAGGAGGTTGTGGTGCTTAAGTGGAGAACTTTTAAATGTACCTCATCCCCAGAAAGTCCACTTTTCCAGTTTAAAGGATTGCTTCTGTCATGCTCTGTAACTTCTAAGCTTGCCAGGTTTCCTCAGCCTGTAGCCAGGGGAATAAACGGGTTTGAAAGCTAGAAACAAAGAGGGAGAGCTATTTGCTACAATTCAATGCTACTTTCCATTCAAGCAGTACAGATGGCAGTCTAGGGATGGCCCAGGCTCAGAACTTGAAATAGTCTTCTCTTTGCACTATAACCCTTTCATTTAGCCACCAAACCCTAATTGCCATGAGATTCTGGGGTTTGCTAAGCCAAAAGATACCAACAAATACCCAGCCTCACTTTGCTCCAAGGCATTTCCTAGACAAGAATGTGCTACGGTATATGTTGCCAATTGACAGGGCAAAAGAAAGGCTGCTCAACCAAAACTAAAGAGGAATGGCCAGGGGTATTAAGACAAGCCCTGACTCAAAACCTTGAGGTCCAGGACCAGACAAATCAGGATAGTGCGAGCCCACTATCTTTTTCTCTTGAGTAGCAACCAACAGCCAAATTCTGAAACCTTCTGAACATCAATCATTTCTAAAACTGAAATTTATGGCAAGATGTGTCATAATGATCATCCTCCCACTTACTCTGCTAAATACTTTATTTCTGCTTCATCAAGGGTTATAGATTTATTTAAGTTTTATTTCAAGTGGGAAAAATCTCCTCCATGTTCCAATTTGCTCAAGTTTGATCAACCTAACTAACCCTTGCTGCTGAAAAGGAGCTGGGTACGGCTAGCTTGCTTCCAAGGGAATCTGACAGGTGGTAGACACAGGTTAGCTTTGCAATTTGAAAGTCACAACACTGGGCCTCCAGAGGAATGCTAGGCCCATTTATGTACATACTAGCTGCCACTGAAAATTTCTTACTGGGCCCTGGGCCAGAATCCATCTCTGAGCCATCTTCCCCCAGTACACAGAAATAACAGTGCTCTAGCAATACCAGGGAGGAATGCCAGAACTTGCATGCTTGACAACTGTACCATCAGCTTAAGGTACAAAACCATAGAACCTCCAAGTTTTGGTGAGAGTAAGAAAAGATGATGGTAATTTGGTTAAGTTTCTACTTACCTGAAGAGTCAGGAATGCTGAGTCCATCCTGTGCACTCAGTATCACTTCTTGACTCCCCCTCTGTATTCATGAACCACAATTTCTAGATAATTTCAAGTCTATTCACAAATATTGAGCCCCTGATATAAGCTACAGCCCTGAGATGACAAAAAATGAACAGAATGTAGTTTCTGCTCATAGGAGTTCACAGGCTCTGGGGAAAACAAGTCATGAAAATAAAGCCAGCTGCTAAGTACTATCAAGTGCACTGGAACACCATCTAGGACACTGGTTAGGAACAAAATTAGTAGGTTTGTTTATTTTATTCTTTTACAAGTATCTCCTGAGGACAGGAGGAAGCTGGAGGTGGAGGTGGTGGTTGTGGTGAACAACTTGGAAATCCTAGTCTTAGCCTTATTTAAATTAGGTTTTTTCAATGCTCATTTTCAAGAAATAGTGGAGAATGACCATATAGTTACCAGATGCCAAAGAAGATGGGGTGGAGGATGGTAAACTGAGAAGAAAAAAATACCTCCTCAAGGCAGCAGTTCATCTTGTTAATTACGCCCTTCTTGGATCCTATTCCATTCTCCTGACTTTTCTCCCACTTCATTAAGTAAAAAATATACAAGGTATCTACTAGTGATTTAACAGTCTTCTTAGGTTCAGCTTCCTCTCATCCTTTAAATTGTGTTTCCTGGAGTGGGACCCTATGTTTTCTTGCTCTACTCTTTTTCTCAGCCATCTTGTTCATTCCTATGGCTTTACCTACCATCTATAGGAGTATGAATCCCATTATCTACAATTGCAGTTTTGCAGTCTTCCCTGAGCACCAAAATATAAGTGTTTACTGGAAACCTTAAACTTGTTGCCTCATGGGAACCTCCACACTCAGTCTATACAAGGCTGTCTTCACAAAATTCACCACCTTTCTTCTACCGTCTCCCTTCTCCCCCAGCCTTGGTTAGAAGAATGTCCCAATATACTCATTGCTCAAGTAGGAGCCTGAGCATTATTAGCCTCTACTCCTCTCTTTCCCTTCCATCATCTATTGAGTACTATCTTCTGAGTGTCTCTCAAAAATCTTCCCTTTCCTGTCTTCACTGCTATAGCTTTATAGCCTTGTTTCAGTCCCTCATCATTTGGCTAGGGAACCATTTGGCCACTCATATCCCCCACCAAACTTTAAGCTCCTTAAGGAGAGAGACACAGTTTTCCTCCTTTCTGAATTGTGCTTCCTTTCTCCCCCAACAATACTGCTGGACACAGTGCTTTGTATGGTTTGTTGAATGAAGAATAAATGGAGGCCTTGTGAAGTATGGTTACATATAATCTGTCGCTTCAACACTCTGGTGGTGTTTTATCCACTTTCCTATAGAGGTGATAGTTCTGCTGTTACAACAATCTAATGCTCTAACCTAAAATATATCAGAGATATAATTAATCCCAACAGTTTTCTTTGCTAATGGGAGTGGGGGAAAAGAGAGAGAGAGACCGCACTTTAGAAATAGAAGCCACTGTTGTCTTTATAAAACACAGAATTGTGCTGCTGCTGTTGCTTGCTTTAGAAGGAACTGTACATTACAGCTGCTGGGATAATTTTACAATGGACTGGACAAGGTACAGCTCAAAGCAGGACACAAACACAAGTCTCAAAGGGAAACAAATGCAAACAAGTACACAGCTGTGGGGCTCCAGGGACACGTCCCCATCCATGCTGGACTTGAGAGGGATAAAAAGTTTAGAAACTAAAGTGAAACCCAGAGTAGTCACACATGCCCACCAGATGGCTGCTAAGTGCAACATCACACACCAATCAGGTTGGACTGTGTGCACAGGAAAGTCATTTCATTTTTCCTTATTGCTACTACACCAGGGGACTCAGTGCATTTGACACATTGTCTTTACTTGCACAATCCTTGGAGAGTTTCCTATTTTCCTTTTTAAAGAAGGAAATCTGCCTTCCCCACCTTATTCTGTTTTGTTTTGAGCCCATTCCCTCCACTCCCATTCTTAGGCTCCCAAACAGCAGCCAGAGGTTCCAAGTCAGTAGGAATAGAGTAAGGGGAGAGCACCAACCTAGCCTCTCTCCCTACCTAGGGAGAAGGCAAGTCCTAATAAAAGGGGGGAAAAGAGAAAACCAGAGAATCCCTTCTCCCCAATCTGCTTAGAAGGCTAAATAGGAAAGAGTGCCCTGCATATCCCTGCCATGATCAGACTTTAAGAAGGAAGGCATCCCAGCTACCATCCTGGATTGGCCTAGGCCCAGTAAATATAAAAAATAACTTCCCCCAATGTAGTTTCCAAAACTGCATTTTGGCTAGTTTGAGATAACTTTCCACCCTGAAGGGGAAGGAACTTCCATTCTTTGTTAAACATGATGCCAGGTCTAAAACACTACCCACCAGCCTTGCAGATAGATACCCCATGGGCCAGCTAAGAATTCAAAATGTCCCCTTGGCCGCCCATCCTGAGTGCTAGCCTCATTTACTGAATTCTAGGACCCCCCCCCAAAAAAAACAAAACAAAACAAAAAAACAACCATCCAAGAACATTGTTGCTTAGCCAAAGAGGAGGCTGCAGTGGAGCTATCTAGTAGGTGGGAACCAGGAGCTTTTAAGGGAGGTTTCATGCTTTTAGGTATCTTCCTTGTCAACATTATTCTAAACCTAAGTTCCCATCAACAATAGCCCCAGGTTTATCCCGAGTTCAACAGTAGCACCTCAACCCCCAATGGGTCAGACTGGACTGGAAAAATGATCAATGAACAGTGCTCTTTCCCATCTTTTATCCAAATTCTCTCCATTCTCTTCCCATCACTCTCTTCTTCCCCCAAGTCCATCCCCTAACCCTCCAACCCTGGAAACCAAGTAGCTCAACCCTAGGACAGCCTCAGAAAAGGGAGGCAGGTAGAGAAATGGAACCAGATCTAGAAAAAGCAATGAGAAAAAACAACTCCAAGGAGTGGACAGGTGTGCAAGTTGTCAGAAGCCCTCCTGATTTCATGCCAGGTAGGCAGCCCTGCTGCTCTGTCCTTGTGTAACGTTGATGGCAGTCCAGCCCAGAGAGAACATCACCAGGCTTGGGGAACATATTCTTGGTCTTCTGCAGCCAAGGAGCTAAGCCTGACCTTGCTAGCTAACAGTGGGATTATCAAAGCCATGCAGAGAATTCATCATCACATAGGCAGGCAGGCCAGCAAACAAGCTTAGTGAAAGAAAAAAGGAAAAGGAGCCAGGGAAAGAGAGAAGTAGAAAAGAGAGGCAAGAGAATAGAACGAAGGGAGCAAGAGACCTGTCCAAGAGGAGGAGGCTGGGATCCCCCCAACACTTCCTCAGAGCACAAGTAAGAAGCACCACTTAAATCAAATCCAAGAAAGCCAAAGCTTGTTGCGAATACCACTTCTCAATCTACATGCACCATCTTTCAAATAAGAATAATCCTCAAGGTCAAGGGTATTTTTCAAGTCTCAAAGATTTAAAAAAAAAAAAAAAATCAGAGCAAGAAGTCATTTTCTTGCCATTGCCCAAACCGCTTCTCTTGCTTTTTATTTCTTGAATGGCATGTACAATGCCAAAGAGCTAAAAAATGCATTTCAGGCCCCAGCTCAAAACCCAAATGGAGAGAGTGAGGCAAAGAGAGAAAAAGGAGAGAACATAAACTTGTTGCTGAGAGCAGGTGGCTACCACCAGCTCCCTATGGATATTTGCAAATGCTGGTGAATGACTGGACCCTCCAGGAACAGTGCCCTGACCCCAGCCCCTAAATGCACCCAAGAAGAGAACATGCAGAGCCCGTTGTCCCAAAAGAGCTCCCCTCCCCAAAGGGTGACTGAACACGAAGTAGACAGTATATGAAGGCGATGGACAGGGCAGATGGAGTGTTGGCATCACTCTCTTTAGGCACTTGTGTAAGGAATGTAGGCTCTCCAGTGAGCTGCCTCCTCCCAGAGCCCTCCATTCCGTTCTTCAGCTGGGCTGTACCCATGGGGCATCCCATGCTATAGCCAGTAGGAAAGAAGTAGAGGAGGAGTTACTCAACAGTCCTGATGCCTTCTCCATAATCAATGTTTGTGCTATGTTTTGTGAAGTCGCTGAACAAAGTAGCCAACCAGAACAGAACCTGGGATAGACTGTTTTGCATAGCAAATCTGGGTCTGTACAGGGCTGCTGGGGAGGGGAAATGGTAGCTCTAAGCACACAGGCCAGGATTCAGACCGGCCTCCAAGCCTGAGCTAGGTCTAAAGTGTCATGGCTTCATCACCAGATTGGGGCAAACCCAAGCCCAGGCTCCTCAAAAAGAGGAACATCCACACGGAAGCTGCAACTCCTCATCCCAAGCAGTGGGATAGGAAAAAAATGAACAGTTAAGGAAAGAGGGGGCCTTGCCTCAAGGCCAGCAGGCACCAAGCTAGAAACCCCCTACTTTTCCAGTTCTGCAAGACAGCCAAACCCCATCTTTATCTCGGGAGACAAAAAACAAAACAAAACAAAGGCCCATGCCACCCACTCACATGCCCTAGTGGGAAACTGGGAAAAATTCATTTGTGTAAACAGAAGCAATAGGGAGCAGCAAAATCCCCCAGCCTGTCCACAGGACACACTGGAATCTGGGATGAGCCAAAGTGTCAGAGGACAGTCCAGAGAAAGGGAAGATGCACTTGCAGGAAAGAGTGCAGGGCAGTGCAGAGGAGGGAGCCTATAGCAAGAAAAAGATATTATCTGCACAGGGGAAGGATGGAGCCTGAGCTCCACCGTGAGGAGATAACCACCCTCTACCGAGCCAGGCCAAAGAACAAGTCCGGTACATAGTTCCTTCTGATGGCTCAATGTTTCTGGGATGTAAACTTAGTGGGCATGGGAGGGATTTCCAGATTTTGGCAATAGACTCAAGTTATGGTATAAAAATAACATTTAGTTTTTGCTCTTTTTTCTTATTTTAGACTTAAGATCATTTGTTATAAGACACCCAGTTAAGAAATATTGAAACATAAGCGACCTGACCATCAGGGGAAAAAAGAAGCCAAGAATGAGAAATGCTATGAAAGTAACTCCAGACCCAGGCAGGTGGGGAGGCTGGGGGGACAGGGAGAAAAGGAGGCGTTAAGTGGAAAGGCCAGGGGCCAGTCATCTCAGCAGCTCCAAGACATCATGTCTGAAAGTGCAAATGTCAATGGACTTTAACCATCTTGAGGTTGTGATCTTTTTTAAAAGCTCAATGAATATGGAAGTCAATTCCTTTGAATGCAAAATAGCTGGCGCTCTGGCTGGAGGCTTGTTGGGTTAGGGGTATTTCTTCCCCACCTACCTCCTCTCCCACCCCCACCCCATCCCCCCAAAGAAAGGTACAAAAGGTTGCAGTTCTGCAGCATTACCGTTACAGGGAAGGCACTGGTTACCCACCAGTAGGCGGAAGGAAGACAGGGTCGTGTCACTTCAGAGCTAAGTGCCATAGTGCCTTAAGTCTTACTAGGGGCTGGATGTCTGTCAGGGAGGAGGTGTAAGGTGGGGTAGAAAAGGTGGAGAGAAAGGAATAAGGGAAAGGGGGGTGGCAGCTGGGGGAGGAGCAACCAAAATCATTAGCATTAAAAATCTTCCTACAAACTGGATTTTCAACCCATTAAAACATCTAGTATTCTAAAATATTGATCTGGGTCTGGTTTCGTTTTTCCTCTTAAACAAATCTAGACCTTTTCTGATTAAGGCTCCTAAAAAATCCTTCCTTCCTCCCACCCACCTTCTCAAGCCCCTCACTCTCCCATCTAAATTATCAAACCCAAACCTACCAGCTTTTGTCCGTGGGGCTGCAGAGCCGACCTTACCAAGCTGTCAGGCATGAGTCTTTAGCACTGCAAGTCACATGAGACACCTGTGTGTATGGTGGGCACCAGTGCTGCCCCTCTTGGTCCAGTGGGGTCAGGGCCAGATGTGACAAGATGGAGTGAGGGGTGGGGGTCATGAGGTGGACATCAGAGACTTCTGGCTGGTGGTCTGGCTTACTGGCCCTGTTCCCCACCCTTTTAAAGCCCCCTTTGTAGAAGGAAACAAGGCCTTCTGAACTCCTCCCTACCCTCCCTCCTCCTCCTTGCTTCCTCTGGATTTGGGCGGCACAGCTCTTGGGGCTTGGAAAGCTTTCTTCTATCCAGTGAGGTAACAGCGTTCTGCCTTCAAGCGAAGTACATGGTGCGCAGAGTATCCTGGTGAACCTGCACGGCTTTGGCCAGGGCCTGGGGGTCCCGCCCATTGCTCTGCCCCGATATGTGGCTCCCCTCTCCACTGAAAAGCAAAAATGAAAGAAGTCCTTCCTGGTGCACTGAGCTGCTGCTAATTCATTCCCCCATCCAGAGTACCAATTCCCATACCAACTTAAGAGAAAGTCCCAACCCAGATTTGGGCAGATGAGCCCAAGGATATCATACTGTACAATATTCATTTCCTTCCGCCCAAGGAAAGTTGAGAGGATCTGTACCAGAAGCTGAAGCAAAAGGGAAGCCAGCTTGATCCCAGGCCTCACCTGTCATGCTCCTTGTCCACTAGGTGGTATCGTGCCCGGAAAGCCACCAGGCGGGCATAGTAGGCAGGTGCTGGGATAGAGACGGAGCGTGTGCATCGTACATAAGTGTGGCACAGCTGGTACGTCAAGATCTGGAGCTCATCTGCTGTGAAACGGTTGTCATCCCAAAGGACATAGTAATGGGATGGTCGGCTGGTGCCCTGGGAAGATAGGAAGATGAGGGGGCCCCAAGCTGGGCAGAAGGGATGGCCAATGCTAAGGAACAGGATCACTGTTAAGAGTGTGGTTGGGGGGACGCCTGGGTGGCTCAGTCGGTTAAGCGTCTGCTTTCGGCTCGGGTCATGATCCCAGGGTTCTGGGATCAAGTCCCACATCGGGCTCCCTGCTCAGTGGGGGAGTCTGCTTCTCCCTCTGCTTGCTACTCCCCCTGCTTGTGCTGTCTCTCTCTGGCAAATAAATAAAATCTTAAAAAAAAAAAAGTGTCGTTTGGGGTGCCTGGGTTGCTCAGTTAAGCGTCTGCCTTCAGTTCAGGTCATGATCTCAGGGTCCTGGGATCGAGTCCTGCTTCTTCTCCATCTCCCTCTGCTGCTCCCCCCGCTTGTGCTCTTTCACTCTCTCTCTCAAATAAATAAAATCTTAAAAAAAAAAAAAAGTGTGGTTGGGTTGGAAGACCCATCCACGAAAAGGCAAATACAAAGCCACCTATGTCATAAAACACCCTTGTTATGGGCAATCCTGCCTAAGATGTTCAAAATGTACTTCTGTTCAAGTATGCTAAGGGCTTATTAAGAGAAAAATCCTTTTCTGAATGCCCTCAGTGACAACTGATATATTTTAAAGGCAGTGGGAATAATCAACTCATCTTTGACCCATTGGAAAGCCCTGGACATAGCCCAGCTACCTGGATGCCTGCATGGCTGCACAGATAGAAGTCGAACTCAAATGGGTGGGTGATATTGGTGTCCACAGTTGTCCCAGCTGGGATGTTACCACTCTTCCCAATCTGTATAGAGACAAAGACAAACAAGATCCCAAGATCTGCCTGGCCCTAAGTAGGGCCCCAACTCAATTCTACTCTGACTCCACCAGAATCTCAAAAGTAAAGCAGAAGTTGCTGTCCCAGAGGGTACCAGATCTTGAAATAATGCGCTTCTACTGTCACACAAACCTGTGGTTAAGTGCTGATTTCACTATTCATTAGCTGTGTGACCTTAGTGAGTCGTTTAAGATTTCTGAGGTTAAACTGGAGGTAATAACAGTACCTACCTCACAGGGCTGCTGTGAGGAAGACACCTTGTACAGTGTCTGACATATAAGAGAAGTTCAATAAGTAGTTGTTCCCTTTCCCTTCTCTGGAGCTGGTCTATATGGGGGCCTATAGGCCAGGGAGCTAGGAGGAGGGAGAGGAAGTACAAGAGCTGGGGGAAGGGGTTAGGGAGGACAGACAAACCAAGGACTAAATCCCCAGATTTATCTCAAGGGCTTCTTCCATATTAAGAGAAGGGAGATAGGATGAGGATAAGGGTGACTTCCTCAGTCTCTCACTCACTCGCTCATTCTTGTCAGCACAAAAAAGGCGGGTATGATGGCGTTTCTGCACCACAATATAAGTGATCCCAGGCTGGTAGTCCTTTTCCAGTTTGATGCAGGCATCACGGATGGCCAACAGCTCATAGTGGAGGATCTAGGCACAGGGTGAGGAGGGAGACAAAGAGAAATAGCTCCTCTTGAGTCACATCTTTGTCAACTAAGAGGTTGCTGTTTGTAATATGGCTTTTTGCTCAGTCTCCCTTTATAAACAGACACCCAACCATTACAGATGACACAGCCTTTCTGTCCAAATCAGCCTTATACTCAGTTCACATATGTTGCTATAAAACCTTGGCCAGGAGGCTTGGCATCAGCAGAGAGCACTCACCTGGTTCCTATGCATAAAGAGACCTAATATCAAGACACAGAACCAAAGCACATAGACTTCACTAAAATCACAATGCCCAAAGTAAGGTCAATCTCAGGATCAGGAGGATAACAGGAATTCCCCTGTGAGCTCCAAAAGCAGACAGTGTTGAGACCACCAGAGAAGAGCAGACACACAGTTCAGGAATTGGTACAGTGGGAGTAGATGAATTCAGTCCTACAAAGAAGTAGGATTCTAAGAATATGGACTAGCTAATGAAGGGCCCACAAGTAAATAACCATATGCAATGGTTGCTTTGTGGTCTTAGAAGTCAGATATAAGGAATCAAAACTGTATGGTAGAAATACATAGAATGGAAATAAATTAGAACTAGTTTATTTATTTATTTATAAAGATTTCATTTATTTGTCAGAGAGAGAGAGAGCACACAAGTAGGGAGAGTGGCAGGCAGAAAGGAGAAGCAGACTCCCCGCTGAGCAGGGAGCTCGATGTGGGGCTCGATCCCAGTACCCTGGGATCATGACCTGAGCTGAAGGCAGACGCTTAACCAACTGAGCCACCCAGGTGCTCCTAGAACTAGATTTAAACCCAAGCTTTATCTAGTTGTATTCCTGTAAGCAAGCTACTTAGCCCTTCTAAGTCTCATTTTCTCCACATCTACTAAAGTTACTAGTAAGACCAGCCTCACAAAACTGTTGTGAAAAGTATAACAGATTAAGTAAAAGCATAGAAAACCTAGTAGGGGCTTAATAACTGCTGATTGCTTTGCTAATAAGCAGTTTGAATTTTAACCCAAGACTATGTGAAGCCACTAGACATTCCTGAACAGAGAAATGATAGGATAAATTTGTCTGCTGTTTTAGGGAACACTGGATGACTTAGAGAAAACTGACCATAAACTCGAATCAGACCAATTTGTCTGAATCCCAGTTCCATGACTGCTTAGCTTGGTTGACACTGAAGAAATCATTTAACATTTCCAAGCCTCCTCATCTGTCAAATGTGATAATTATTATTTCATAGGGTTATTCTAAGCATTAAATAGAACATATATGAAATGCTTACCACAATTCATAGTACATAAGAGATACCCAATAAATGACACTTATATTAATATTAAATGGTAGTCAAGGAAACCAGTTCATTATATATTCTAAACAACAGAAATATGAAGGCTTGGCAGGGACAAAGAATAGGAGGAACATTTCTGAAGGAAGGTCAACAGCAGTTCTCAAAGTGTGGCCTCCAGACCATCACCTACCTAGGAACTTGTCAACTACAAACTCTAGGGGCGCCTGGGCTGCTGAGTCAGCTAAGCATCTGCCTTTGGCTCAGGTCATGACCCCAGGGCCCTGGGATCGAGTCCCACGTCAGGCTCCCTGCTCGGCGGGGGCCTGCTTCTCCCTCTCCCTTTGTCCCTCCCCCCACTCATGCTGTCTCTCTGTCTCTCTCAAATTAATAAATAAAATCTTAGAAAAAAAAAAAGAACTACAAATTCTAGGGACCATCCTAGACTAGATGAATCAGCACTTCTTAGAGCCCTGTAAACTGCTGTAACAAGCCCTTCAGGTGATCTTGATGCATGCTAAAGTTTTGCGAACTACTAGTCTAAAGAATCAGTCTTCAACATGAACCAACTAGTAAATACGCACTGAGGCTCTTCTGTCACAAGAAAGGTCTATAGATGCTGTACACACCATCCTCAGTTGAGATCTCTGCTCTTAAGCCTACCGCCATTTATAGCAAAGCTCTCGAAGAAGTGCCACCTCCCAATGCCAATAGCTTTAAAAAAGGGAGCAGTACTCTCTGTACCCATTAGGCCCTCTGGCCCCAATGTGAAGGTTTTCTCCACCCACTTTGGACCCTACCTGGGGGAGCTGGCCTTCAGGAACCCCATCTCGGTAGAAGATGATGCGGGTAGGCTTGAAGCGGGTAGACTTGTAGAACTGGATGAGCAGCTCACGCACCATGTAGGATAAGTCCTCAATGATCTCCTGCCGGGGTCGCTGCACTCGCACAGTAGCACAGTAGCGGCTGGGGTGGGCATCCATACTGCCTACTACCTAACAGTCAAAGAGGCAGGATCAGCCTCCAGAATCTCCACCCTCCCAACACTGTTAGGACGTAGATTTGGGGAAGCTTCTTAGCAAGAAAACTACGCAAACGAGTTAGTAGGGTTTGGGATTCAATGTGTCCTGGTTTCAATCTCTATCATGCATGCAGAAGTTATTTAATCCATCTGATCCTTTTCCTCCTCTCAAATAGGTAAGAATGCCACCTGCTTGCAGTGCTGCTCGGATACATATAAAACACCTTGCATAGGACCTAGCTCACAGTAAGTGCTTGGTAAGTTCAATTTTCTTACCCCTTGCAGGAAGGCATGTGAAGGTCTGGCACTACTAGCTCAAAGAGCCACAGGTTAGTCCTTTTCTCAATTCAAGTACTAATCTACCCAGAAACCATAGTGAAGAGTGTTCCTGCAGGAGGTAGGAGTAACATCATTTTCAAAGGGCACAGTGGCCAGAGCCTAGGACGGATGGCCACAAGGAAAACAAGGGTAAGCATAGTACAGGATTTCCCCACATTTACTGTGCTTAGCCCAGTCTGCCTAGAGAAATGTGAGGGTTGAGGAAAGAGAAGTGGGAAGAAGGCCTGATCCTTCTAGCAATTCGGAAGCCTCTAGGGACAGGGAGCAGAGAAGTCAGGAGAGGGACTGGAAAGACATTTAATCTACTAGACGGATCAGGGGTAGGGATGGGGAAGAGGAAAGGACAGTCCCAGCAACTAAGTAACCACCTTCAAAAGGATTTCAGAGAAGAGACATGGTCTTTCCCATATCCCAAAAGTGGGCATGGAGAGAGAGAGAGAAATTTGAACACAGAGCAAGAGTGATGGAGACTGGGCAAAGTCTCTGGCCACCACCTACACTCTCACTGCTCTCTCTGAAAAATAGATACCATACAGAGTTAGTTTTATGAAGATATCAAGGGAGTGGTTAATGGGGATGATCAGCTGAAAAAAAAAAGTTCTTACGAAGGGTCAAGCGTCAGAGCTGAGAAAAGGAGATTATATGTAGTCTTCGGTGCTCAGAGCTAAAATGAGAACCTTAAGAAGAAGCTGGAGAGTATCACTCACTGCTGTGATAGAAGGTTTTTTCCCATCCCCTGCTGGGGGGTGTGTAACATCTGCTCCCAGGAATATCACTGGCTGTTGAAAGACGGCAGAGCTAAACAAAGAAGAGAAAACAAATGGTGAGGAGTTGGGTCTTCTCTTCCTGGCACCATCTAGTACCCATTCTGGTCATCTCTCCCCTTGTGTCTGATTCACTCTGCCTGGCCAGAGTCCTGTCGTTTTGTCAATCCCCGACACGGTACCTTGCTTGACAGGGCAAGTGGGCAATAGAGTTCATACCGCTGGTGTGGAACTAGGATGTTGTTAATGCCACCAAGTTTGACATTGATCTTCAGGCAGAGATTGGACAGAGTCTGAGGCGAGGTCTTGACCACATTCTTCACTTGCACACACTGTGTAGCCATTCCCAAGAGCGTATCTCCAACACGTTTCACTTCAGCTATAAGCAGGGAGAGATGTAATTAATGCACTCAACGAATATTTACTGAATGCTGATTAGATGTCAGGCAGGATACAAGGTGGTAAGAACACAATGGTAACCAGAAACATAGGGTCCCTAATCATAGTGGTTACTGTCTAGTGACTAATCTTAAAAGTCATGAAAAGTACAACAATGATAAATGCTACAACAGAAAACTTCATGAAGATATGAGAGCTTTTAATAGGGGGTAATAACCCAGCCAGGAATGGACTAAATAATGATAGAAATGAAACCCAAAGGTTTCATTAGAAGAGAGGCGGAGTTGGGAGAGAGCATTCCAGACAGAGGGAACAGCATCAAAAATGCACTCTGATAGGAAATAGGTTTGAGAAAATGAAAGGCCAAAGTAACTAAAAGGAGAGCAAAGGAACCATGGTGTGAGAGAAAGAATGTGGTCATCGGACTGATCCCGCAAGAAGTGAAGGTAGCTTGTACTAAGAAGACAGTTGCTTAGATGGAAAGAAACAAACAGATTCAAGAGATACTTAAGGGACTCAGAGATGATATATGTAAGGGAAAATAATTTTTATAGTTAACTTCAAGTTTCTAGCTTTTGTAATAAAAGATAGGTCATAAACTGTTCTTGAAACCTTTTGAATTTGAAGTGCTTTTTGGTAATTCCAGTGAGGATGTCAATTCGGCAATGAGAATAGTAGTTGAAAGCTCAAAAGCAGTCTGAAAGGGGATACAAATTTGTTAGATATTTTGTACAGATAGTAATTAAAGGCATGATCTTGATGAGATCATCAAGGAAGAGAACAGGTGAAAGGAGTAGGGCTTAGGCCTGAGTCTTGAGGAACTCCTAAGAAGATGAACAGCTAAGAAGATGAGTCTGCAAAGGAGAAATACCCAGAAAACTAGGAGGAAGACAGTGTTGTATCATGAATACCAAGGGAAGAGAGGGTTTCAAGAAGGAGCAAGTGTTCAACAAAATCAAATGCTAAGAGATCTAGTAAAATAAGGACCAGAAATGTCCTTTGTTTTTCTGTTGTTTTTTTAAGTAGGCTCTATGCCCAGTGTGAAGCCCAGTGTGGGGCTTAAACTCATGACTGTGAGATCAAGAGCTGAGCTGAGATCAAGAGTCAGACACGGGGGCGCCTGGGTGGCTCAGTTGGTTAAGTGACTGCCTTCGGCTCAGGTCATGATCCTGGAGTCCCTGGATCGAGTCCCGCATCGGGCTCCCTGCTCGGCAGGGAGCCTGCTTCTGCCTCTGACCCTCCCCCCTCTCATGTGCTCTCTCTCTCTCATTCTCTCTCTCTCAAATAAATAAATAAAATCTTTAAATTAAAAAAAAAAAAAAAAAGAGTCAGACACGGGATGCCTGGGTGGCTCAGTCGGTTAAGTGGCTGCCTTCGGCTCAGGTCATGATCCCAGAGTCCTGGGATCTAGTCCCGCATCAGGCTCCCTGCTCAGCGGGGAGCCTGCTTCTCCCTCTGCCTGCCGCTCTCCCTGCTTGTGCTCTGTCTTTCTCTGACAAATAAATAAATAAAAATCTTAAAAAAAAAAAAAAGAGTCAGACACTTAACCGTCTGAGCCACCCAAGCACCCCCAGAAATGTCCTTTGAATCGATATCAAGGCAAAAAACTAATGTATAGAGGCAAAAACTATTTTGGTGATATAAAGTGCCAAAAAGGAGATGTGAGATCAATGAAGGATTTAGTATGTTTTCAATGAGAGAGACCTGAACATGCTGAAAAAGCTAAAAGGATCATTTCCACTATCAAGAGAGATGGAGTAGTTAGTGACCAACCAATGCTTCTGCAGATAACATTCAGAAAAGTCAGACAAAATACAGAAATCATCTTTTGAAGGCAAAAGAGAGGTGCTGAGACAAGAACTGAAGGGGCAAAAACACCAGAGAGGAAGAGAGTCTCACCAAGGTGAGCTATCTTCTGCAGCTGCTTTTACCCTGGGTACATTTGCTGATTCTAGGTGTGGGCAGGAGGCTGAGATTCTAGGCTTTGCACCAGCAGAGGAACCACTGCCAGGGGACAGAGAAAGCAAGAGTTTCTGGAGGAGACAGACTAATTCTAAATGTGAACGGTTAAAAACAAACAAACAAAAAACCACACATTTAAAAAAAAAACATAGGGGTGCCTGGGTGGCTCAGCTGGTTAAGCAAATGCCTTCGGCTCAGGTCATGATCCTGGAGTCCCGGGATGGAGCCCCGCATCAGGCTCCCTGCTCAGTGGGGAGTCTGCTTCTCCCTTTGACCCTCCCCCCTCTCATGCTCGCTCTCTCTCATTCTCTCTCAAATAAATAAATAAAATCTTTAAAAAAAAAAAAAGAAAACATAGCTAGCATCTTACGATCTTCGGATTTCTTAAACAGGACACAGAACTTCCTAGCCATAAAGAAAAAATGTTACACAAATTGGACTACATGAACATTTTGAATTTCTGTTCAACAAAAGACTCCATTAAGAAAGTAAAAAGGCAAGTCACAAAGTAGAGAATATATGTATAATACACATACATATTAAATGAAGGAATTATAAATCAGTAAGAAATCACCTATAAATTAATCAATAAGAAAAAGGTAGTTAAGGCAATAAAAAGAAAAGGGAAAGACATGAGTACACACTTTACAAAACAGCCTAGTGAAATAGCCAACAGACATATAAAAAGATACCCAACTTTATCAATCTTCAGAGAAATCAAATTAAAAGCACAACACAACATCACCAGACACCACAAAAACAGTTAAAATGGAAGAGACAATATCAAGTTTGGTAAGGATATAAAATATCTAGAACTCTCATACACTGCTGGTGGAAGTGTAAACTATACACTAAAGTTCCTCCTAGAGGGACGCCTGGGTGGCTCACTAGGTTAAGCGTCTGCCTCCAACTCAGGTCATGATCCCAGGGGTCCTGGGATCCAGCCCTGCATCAGGCTCCCTGCTCAGCTGGGAGCCTGCTTCACCCTCTGCCTGAGCTCTCTCTCTGACAAATAAATAAAATCTTTAAAAATAAATAAATAAATAAATAAAATTCCTCCTAAATACACACCCAGTGGAAATGGGTATATATGTTCAAAGGATATGTACAAGAATGTACACTGAGGCTTTATTTATAACAGTAAAACTGGGAACAACACAAATATGCCCACCGATGGTAGAATGGATAAATACATGTAAATTGTGTTATATTCATCTAATGGAAAAACTGTAACAGACTACGACTAAATAAACATGGTTGAATCTCATAAGCATAATGTTGAGTAAAAGCCAGACACAAAAAAAGTACCTAATAAATGATTCATTTACATAAAGTTCAAAGACTGTCAAAACGAATCTATGGCATTAGAAGCCAAAACAGTGATTACCATTGATGGGGAGCTGTAGTGACTGGCAGCCTGAGGTTGTGGTAATGTTTTGCTCCTAAAACTGGGTACTGGTTATCCTATTGTGACATTCTGTAAAAATTCATTGAACTGAACTCTTAAGCATTTTTTTTTTTTGAGAGAGAGAGACAGACACAGTGACAGAGAGCATGAGTGGGGAGGAGAGGGAGAAGCAGGCTCCCCGCTGAGCAGGGAGCCCGACGTGGGGCTCGATCCCAGGACCCCAGGATCACGACCTGAGCCGAAGGCAGACGCTTAACCACCCAGGCGCCCCTGAACTCTTAAGATTTCTATATGTATACTACAATAAAAAGTTTACATTAAAAAAAAAAAGGATAATAGTATCAATTTAGTGGAGAGGAAGGAATTAAAAATACTAAGGACAGGATGAGATGTGGTACCAGATCAGAACTGGATAAATGTGACACTGTCCTTCTATACTCTAAGGGCAACCACAATGCAACTGGATCTTGCTTTGGTCTCCAAGGAGGGAAGGTGAGGGTCTTTAGAAGAATCTAACTGCTCCTCTTATCTGCTGGCTTAATTCCTAGGCAATTGTTTTCATTGTCCAAGTGGCATATAATCAAGGAACAGAACGTAAGTAGAAGAAACCCAAGGTCCTAATCAAGGCTGGAGAGAGGGATAGCATTACTGAGCCCAGGATGGGGGGAAATTCTCTGAGTAAGCACTGCCTTCCCCCAGCATGCTGTACTATACTATTCCCCAAGTAAACCAATACTGGATTCTCCCCTTAATGGAGAGAACCAGAAATGTGGATAATTACTCAAGGCAGTTCTCCTAATATGTATCCTTATTTTGCATCCAAGGGCTATCAATAAAGGCCCAGAGACATGGACTGGAGATCAACCAACTTCCTTCCACAAGCAATTACTGAGTATCATGTCAGTGGAAGACTTTAAGTTTGTATGTGCAGAGGGGAAGAAGGTTTCAGAGCAAAATAAGATCTACTCCATGCTCAAAATAATATCAAGGAAGGTTGTAACTGATCAGCAGCCTGATAAAATTTCCAGAGGTATCCAGAAAGATTTATCCTCTAGGTAGGATGATAAGAGATGGCTTCCAGAAATAAGTACACTTAAATTGAGACTTGACAGATAGAATTTTAAGGGCAACATGGGGGGATAAAAAGAAGAGTATGTAGATATTCTAGAAAAAGGCAGATGATGTAAACAAAGCCAAAGATTAGAAAGCACAGGCAAGAAATGAGCATTTAGGATGCCTGGGTGGCTCAGTCCATTAAGCATCTGCCTTTGGCTCAGGTCATGATCCCGGGGTCCTGGGATCGAGGCCCACATTGGGCTCCCTGCTCTGCGGGAGCCTGCTTCTCCCTCTGCCTCTGCCTCTCTGTCTCTCATGAATAAATAAATAAAATCTTAAAAAAAAAAGAAGAAAAAATGAGATTTAGAGTATCTACTATGTGCCAGGCACTGTGCTAGATGTTGCTTTTTATATAACTAATCATGAGGCTCAGAAAGGTTAGGTAATTTGCCTAAATCAGTAAACCGGCATAGCCAGGATTAAAATCCATTTCTATCTAATTCCAGAACAAGTGATCTTCCCAGTATGTGTGGCAAAGGGAACAGTACAAGATAAAGCTGAAAACATTAAACTAAGATCAGGGCCCTGAAAAATTTTTATTTTGTGAATTCATACCAGTGAAAGTTTTTTTGGGAGTAGAGTTACAAAAGGTCTCATCCAGTAAATGAAAAACCTTTCTTATACAAGAAAGATTTAAGAAAAAATGTTAGAATTAAGTTGAGAAGTGTGGGTAGAGAGCAGAGAACAGATCTTATGACTGTAAAAAAGACGATGATGGAGATGAAGCAAAGTTAACATTGCCTCCAGAGTTTGGATGAAGGTACCCAGAAGCAATTACAATGCCAAACACAGAAGATGTAAAGAGAAGAGCTTACTGATAAAGAGAGAAGAGAGAAGATAAGCTACTAAAGAGATGTCCATCAAAACACATTATAAGAGCAGAGACTACATCTGTTTTATTCACCAATGTATTTATGACCTAGCACAGTGTTTTACACATAGTAGGTGATTAATAAATGCTTATAGAAGGGAGAAAGGTCAAAGGGACAGATGGGAACAGTGGAGAGGTCAAGGGTTGGACCAAGATTTAACAATACATTATAACATATATTAGTAAGAGGTGATGATTTAAGCAACTGAAATAAATGAAAATTTCATTAGAATGTAAAGATAGAGAAGGCAGGGTATAGAAATCTGGAAAATACCAGGCATATCTGGTAATAACAAAAATAATTAAAGAGAGACAGGAGAAAGTCAAGCGAAGAGAAGTGAGAAAGGTCACAGACGGCTCTCTGCAGGGGAAGTTTTGGAGAAAGTTAGAGGTAAGACAGATGAAAGAGGCAAAGGAGTAAGCAGCTGGTGAGGAAGTGGGTCTAGAAAATGTGGAGAACTCATTCAAAAAGTATGATGAAGAAAAACAAGAAACAGGAAGACAAAAGCTAAAGGAGATGGCATGATTGTGGTAGTGTACTCTTGGATGGGGAATCTGAACAAGTTTGAGGGTCAAGGGGTATGAAGTCCCAAAAGTGGCAGGATGAGATGGGAACAAGAGCATACGTGGGCTGAACAAGGTAAGAGGAGGGACACCTCTTCTTTTGAAACAGGAGAGGTGCTGGGAAAACAGAGTAAAAGAATTGAGCCAGAGATATATGTAATCATCCCTATTCTTAGAAGTGGGAGAGAGAGAAAACTTCTCAGAAAGTCCAAGTCATTCCCAGGCAACAAACCACTTACTGAACCACCACCAATTCTGCTTGAGCGTGCTGCACAATGTCCTGACAGTCAACACACTCCTAGGGATAGGAAGGAATCTGGACTGACACATATCTGTATCTGGCTCAGCTTAGCCTGGCATAAAGACCAGCATGCAGAGGACCCCAGTAAATATTACGGGGATGGAGGGTGAGCAGGTAAGCAGGACCTAGGATAGCTCAATGGCTCATACAGGCTAATATTTCTCCTTCAAAAGGAATACTGATGTTAAGGAAGAACTCTGGCTAGAGCAAAGAACCCACACTGAGTCCTCCCTAGGAGCCTCCAGGGAGCTACCCTGAGAAGAGTCCTATCTTCATTATCACTGTCCCCAGAGAACTGTACCATACACTGGCGTCTTCCCTGGCAGGATGACGATAATGAGCTGCAGCCCTGAGTAGGTGTTCTTGAGATGCCGGAACATGGGCTCCACGCTGTCTGCCCCCTGCGCATATTTGCAGAAGCAAGGCTGGCCCTGGATGGGCATCCCTGCATCCTTGGAAATCTTCCGCAGCTGGTCTGTGAAGTTCCTGCAGCACAAGTATGGTCATGACAGGAGGCAGTGAGTCCCACTTTAATACCTCTGAACAAATGCCTCCATCTTAGGTACCTAGCTCTAGGACAGCCACTGAGACATTCTGAGATAAATGAGACATGATCACAGCCAGTATAAAAAAAAAACACATTTATAACTGAGTAGGACAAAATCACACTTGCTAAGTATTCAATGGTATAAGCAGAGAGCCAAGGGAGCCCAGAGAAGGGACCTCTGGGAATTCTGAGTCCCCACTTTGTCCCACTCAAGTAGCTGATTTCTGTGCACTAAGTCTGTAGCAGCAGGCAAATGCCCAAGAGAAAGGCCTCTGCTCATATTAAAATAAGCTCCAACAGTGATCAGAGCACAGGAGGTGCTCAGTAAAATTGAGCTCCCTTGTCCCCTACTGATTCTTTGAAGCCTAAGAGCAGATAATTAAACAAGCTTCTTTCCTTTGGCTTTAGGGCTTTACCCTAGGAAAGGAAGAGAAAGTTGGAAGAAATGATACATATGCAGTAGATTTAAAAAATCCAGCTACCTGAGTACAATGACAGACTGAAATAAATAGCAGAAAATTTAACTTGTGAAAATCCTACATTTAGATTAAAAGCAATATACAAATAGGGAATAAAAGCAATTATTTAGGGGACATTCTATAGCATATAAATACCAGTATGATAGATTCAAAAGTCTATATTGTGAGAAAATAAGTATTTTTTCACATATTTAGTAAAGAAACAAAAAGTAAACACAAGATAAATACAGTATGATATTATTATGTAAAATACAAAATCACTTGAGGGGCGCCTCGGTGGCATAGGCCGTTGAACTCTGACTCTTGGTTTTGGCTGGATTGTGATCTCAGGGTCATGAGACTGAGCCCCATGTTGGGCTCCACACTCAGCTTGGAGTCTGCTTGGGCTTCTCTCTCCCTCTCCCTCTGCCCCTTCCCGCCTCCCCGCCCCCCCCCCACCCCTGTGCTGTCTCTCTAAAATAAATAACTAAATCTTAAAAATAAAATTTAAATCATTTGTATATAGGTGTATAAAACATATAAATTAGATGGAAGGTCATAGTAGTTCATGACAGTGGCTACATTAGAGGGAGGAACTGAACTAGTATGGAGGATATAAAGGAACATCAAATTTAGTAAGTCAAATTTATTAAGTGGGTCTCTACTTCAAAGTGGTATTCCCAATCTTTTCTCTACCACCAGATCATACTTAGCATACTGTGTTCTGTGCTGGGGGCCACGTGTTGAAAGAAGTCTAGAATGGGGAAGATCTTGAAATACTCTCCTAAAAGTGATATGGTGGAGGTAACAGAACTTCTTTAGCCAGAAGAAAAATCCTGAGGGTTGACCATAGGACTCCCGCATCCATGCCCAATTACCAATTTCTCAACCTCCACAGCCACCTTCACTTCTCTCTTCTATCTCTTTTCCTGTGCTCTGGATCCCATCCCCTCACACACACTTAGGAACTTTGCTCTATTTACTTTCCAGTTTCTCAGAGTTCTTATATTCAGCCTCTGTTCACCATGTACATTCTCCCTGGACAATCTCATCCACTGCCATACCCGAAGACTCCGATTTTAATCCTTAGCCCAGAACCAAACATCCAACTGGGTACCACTGACCCAGGTGTACAAGTCATATTCTTACCCCTTGCATCTGGGGATCATTGGTAGAAGGGGATGTCTGATGAATAGACTCCCAATGCAGAGATTCTAGGTTTATCAGTTTCTGTACCCCAAAATATCAAAAACAATGGATTTTCTCAAAAGAACTGAACAGGGAAAGAACATGGGAATGAGAGACGCATACAGAGAACAGAGCTAGCCAATAAGCTGACACAAAGGCAGAGAGCTGGGAGCCTTTCCAATATTGCTAAAGGCCAGCTCTCCAATGCTAGGCCAAGGCTAGGAGTGGCCTAATCTAAATGGCACTAAAATCCCCAAAACCCAGGAAAGGGGACAAGAGGAACTCATTTAAAAGAAACTATTAAGTGTGATGGTGGTAGTTGTGTATCTATGAGGGGAGAGGGGAGAAGGACAGGCAGGGCAGCTGGAGTCCCTACATTCATCAGGTGCTGCTGTAACTAATTCTTATGAAAATCTGAGGCCAGCTGAACCTGCCAGAACACACAGCTTTATTATCCTTGTCAATACCTAAAGTGGTCAGCTCCACCAACTCTTCCTCAGCCTAGGTGGGCATTGATCCTTTGACCCTACTCTAGATCCAAAGAGAATAAGAAGTGACCACATCAAAAGACTACAGGAACTACTTAACCATACACTTTAAATGGGTTAATTTTGTGGTATTTGAAATATCGCAATAAAAAAAAGACTGCAGGGGAAGGGTCAGTTACTTTACTATTCATTCATTTGCTCAAGACCATTACTCCCCTAATGTGTTCCTTTAAACCATCTGGTTATATCATTTTCTTCATTGCTGTCATATGTTCCCAGCCCCTCAGCCACTAAGTAAGCTAAGAGGCCCTTACAACTCATGTTCATCTAATTCAGGTCACTTGGACCTGAATGAACAAATTCTGTATATAATACAGGAGAGGACAGTGCAGAGAACCAGCTGAGCTTTTGTTTCCAATAAGGAATATAAGCTTTGAAGCCTCAGATCTGATTTGATCCCAACTCTGACACTTTCCTGATATGTAAACCTTGTACAAGGTACTCTTTGAGTCTCAGTCTCCTGAAAATGGAAATACCACCACCTACTCACTGTGAAGATGAAATGAGAGAACATAAAATTAGATAGAGTGTTGGTGCAACATTATAGTCATCACTATACTATTTACTACCAATGTTAGTAATTATAACAATAAAATAATTCAGGCCTCCCTTAGGAGATTCATGTCCTGAAATCATCATTTCTGACACAAATACAGCTTCTTATCAAGACTTCTGACCACAGATGGACAGAAAAGGAACAGGCAGAAGTTTGAGCCAGGAAGCACAGGGAAGCAGGGTCAAGAGTCAGAAAGAAGAGACCACAGATCAAATCTTGGTCCCTTGTGGGTAGGGGAAGGTAGGCAGCTAGGGTCCTTCCCACCCTTCCACCCATACACCCAACCCTCCTTACTTGAGCACCTCTTCTCGACACTGTTTTTGGGGTGCGAAGCAGGCGATGGCCCAGACTTTGATCTCAATCCCATTGTAGAACTGTTTCCCCCGCATGTCCCAGACACCCTGATTAGGTGTGGCAATGGCCCGGTTCTGGGGATAGGCAGAGGGGTTGCCCAGGTGAGCCTCAGCAGAGCCAGGTGAGTAGGGGAGCAAAAGCCCCTGGTTATATAAACCCAATTCCCCCCTCCCATATGCCCTAGAGATGTTGTCTGGCCCTGACCCTGCTCACCCGGCCGCCGTACTGCAAGATGGGGGCCGGCAGCACTCGCCCCGTCACCTCCGTCATGTCATCCTTCACTTTGATCCCAAATTCCTGGATGTAGGGATCTAGATTATAGCTGGCATTCTTCATCTGCAAGACAAAAGAAGGGGATCTCAGGAGAGTAGCAGCTTGGCAATACTGCTCACCCTCTGGGTCCCAAGGAGAAAGCCCTGAAGAGCAGCTGGGGCTGGCAAGTAATAGCCCTAAAAAAAGGTGGGAAAGTGGAAAGTGAAGTAAGCGGGAGTGGATAACACAGGGAAGTAATACAGGAGGGAAAAAGAAATAGGAAGCCAAGTAGCTACAGGGTCAAGAGCAAGAGCAGTCCTATGGAATCCCAGGCAACAAATCCAGACTTGTGTTCTCCTGAGGATCCTGCCAAGGCAGAAAAGCATCTATGCTACCAGGGGCCCCAATGACTGAGCAACCAAGCATACATTTCTCTGCAGCCCTACTGACCAGGCGGCTAATCTCCTCCTGTCTGTCTGGGGCCGACCTAGCTGTAGCCTTTATCATGGTCGAAGTCTGGTTGTCGGTCAACTTCTTAATGCAGCGCTGCCCAGCCACAATGTTACAGACCTGAGGAAACGAGAAGGACAGGTAGCTCTGGCTTGAGTACAGTCCACCCTGTACCCAGAGCCCCACAATAAGGGAAGAGACCTTGGCTGTCAGCCCTGGGAAGGGGACTGCAAAATCTCTTGTGCAGAGACAGGTAAGTTAGAAAATATCCATGTGCAATACAAAAGGCAATATAGCCACTTTGTCATTAACAGATTGGGATCCAGAGCCAGATCTGGGCTCAGGTCTCATGTTAACTGGGAAGAACAGTAACAATCTCATAGGGTTGTTCAGAGACTAAATAAAATAAAGCACTTAAAGGACTGTGTACAGTTCTGGAACACAGTAAACACTCAGTAAACTCTAGCATAAATTATTATTTACCAAAGGACCCAGTATAGAGCTCTTCTGGATACTAAAAAACTCAATACACACAAACTGGATTCCTAAGGTAGTAGATAGCCCTCTTAAATGGTGACAAGCGGTCAGTTGCTCCTCTGCAACCCACCAGGAGAACTGGAGATGGCTCTTAACTCTTGAGCCCCAGCCTACAGATGATCACTAAGCCCTAAAATCAGTCTGTGTTGTCTGACAGCGTCCTCTATTGGTGTGAGGGACATCCTGCCATGCATTCCTGTTTTAGGCCCAAGAGAACACAGTGGAAATCAGAAAAGACTTTCTAGTAAAATACAAGACTTCCATTCCCCAATATACTACATTCAGGATGCTATGAACAGGAAGTCTGTTGGCAGAGTATAGAGAAAGCCAGTAGGTTGGGAAGGCTTGAGTTTGAAGTCCAGCTTTGCCATTTCTAGGTGATATGACCTTGGGCAGGTCCCTTAACTACTCTGAGACCCTGCTTCTTTAATTTCAGTCATGGGATAAAACACTAGCTGTTTATGAGGTTGTTGTGAGGAGGTAGACAAAATGAAATACGTAATTTGTTCCCACAGGGCCAACACTATGTAAGTACTGGTTTTCCTCCTAATTTCCAAATTTTATTTTGAAAAATGGTAGGTAAAACCAGAACAAGGTCACCTGCTCTTAAATTCCATATCCCAAAGAATATACAAATTAGTTGATTCAATTAATAAAAATCCAGAATTGTTAATTTAGGAGGTTGCCCTCCTAAAAGCACCTTAAAGTTGTAGCACTCTTGACAGATAATTTCAGCTACAGAATCAACATTAGGAAAAAACTAAAGTAGGCATGTGGAGAAATTGGAACCCTGTGCATTACTGGTGAGAATGTGAAATGGTACAGCCACTGTGGAAAACAGTATGGTGATTCCTCAAAAAATTAAACACATAATTACGATATGATTCAGTGAATCCATATCTGAGTATGTACTCAAAAGAAATGAAAGCAGGGACTAGAACAAATATCTGTACACCTATATTCATAGCACTATTCATTATAGCTAAAAAAGTGGAAGCAACCTAAGTGTATCCATCAATGAATGAATGAATAAAAAAATGTGGTATATATGTACAAGAGAATAGTATTTAGTCTTAAAAAGGAAGAAAATTCTGACACATGCTACAATATAATGAACCTTGAAGACATTATGCTAAGTGGAATATGCCAGTCAAAAAAAGCCACATATTATATAATTCTATTCATATGAAATGTCCAGAATAGACAAATGCACAAAGACAGAAATAGATTAGTGATTACTAAGGGCTGATTCGTGGCGAGGCGGAGTGTAAGTGACTACTAATGGGTATAGGTTTTCTTCTGGAGATGACGAAATGTTTTAGAATTAGATAATGGTAATGGTTATACAACTCTGAACATACTAAAAACCACTGAATTGTACATTTTAAGACGGTAAATTTTATGGTATGTGAATTATATCTTGATAAAGTTATTCTAAAAAGCAAAACAAAACAAAACAAAAGTCCCACCTGGCTATAATAGCCTACATGATTAGACCCTGCACTTCTCTCTGAAATCATCCCCTATTGCTTTTCCCCTCATACACTACACACCAGCCACTATGGCCTTCTTATCTCTTAAGAAATCCAAGCTCCTTGCTGCTTTAGAGCCTTTGTACTTACTATTTACTTCCTGCCTGGAAGGATCTTCCCTCAAGTTATTAAAGGTTGTTTCTATCATAATTTAGGACTCAAATGTCTCCTAAAAGAGACCCTCCCTGACCATAATAACTAAAGTGGCTCTCCAAACCCCTCCTCCCTTACTTCTGTCCCCTTAATCTGTTTTATTATTCTTATACCACTTACAACTATCTGAAACTATCTTATTTATTTATTGTCTATCTCCCCCTTCTAGAATGTAAGCTCCACGACAGCAGGGACCTTCTCTGTCTTGTTAATCTCTGTATTTCCAGCACCTAAAAGAGCATATGACACACAGCATGAGCTCAATTAATATTTGTTAAATAAACAAATGATAATAAGAATAAAAATATGTCATTATGTAAATTATTCACCTTGGAAACTAATGCTTGAACAGAAGTAATGTTAATTTGCTAAAGATCTTAGCTTGCAGTAGATATTAACTAAAGCCTATCTACTTAGCTGGGATTGTCCCTGAAGACTCCTTTTTACACTTCAAGAGAACATACTGTCTTCATCCCACTTTCCATGCATCAACAGCTATTAACCAAAATCAGAGTTCTTAGGTGTTGGGATCTTATCTCCCCTCAGCCTAATTCCCCCTGGTTAGTTCTGAAATCCCAGAAGCTCACGGAAGGCTTGAGCTTTGGTCCCAGCTATCTGACTCCTGCTGTGGAAACAGAGCAAGATGTTAGTCTAGGTTAGTGCTTCTCCAACTGTAATGTTCATATGAATCCTCTTTGGATTCTGTTAAAAGACGATTTTGATTCAATAGTTCTAGGTGGAACCTGAGATGCCGCATTTCAAACAAGTCCCACTCAAGTAATACCTGTTGCTCTTACTGACCACACCTGGAATAGTACTGGACTAAACAATGAAGAAGTCAGCAGTAGTTTCTCATTAGACATTTTGGCTAGTGTATACCAAATCAAATATACCCCAATGGTTCTGCATTTATATTCTATGACTTAAACAGCATTTCTGTTCTTTAACTGCAGGATTTTAAAGGTCTGCTAAAGCATAAAACTATGATAAATCTTGGGCCTAAAACCTTTTCAAAAGGAACACATTGATCATCACATTGATAACATGAATAGGATTCACATCATAGCTAACAGGTATCTCCCATTTTCTGGAAAATAAGTATACTTGTATCTCTAGGTCATTTAGGATCCCCAGCTGCAGGTAAAAAAAATTAAAAGTTAAGACAGGGTAAGAGAAATAAAAATTAAAATGAATGTGGATATCTGAAATCTGTCATGAACAAACTACTTATTTATTAAACATAAATACAGCTTTCACCTTTGCCTGGCAGTCCTAAAAGAACATGAGAGCAGGATGGGGAATAACGAAAGAAATTAGCAGGTAAGAATGAGGTCTACAATTCACAGAATGACCTCATACCTCTCAGAACGTCAATTTTCCAAACTTCAAAATGAGAATGAGAGACTACGAATGGAAGAACAGACCTCTCATATCAGTGTGCAGGTACAATGTTTGTTCTCCAACCCAGCCATTACTTGGCAGCCTCACCTCTAAGGGCAGGTAGGTATGCTTTTGTTCCTGGCCAACTTGCAGGCAGGGCAGATGGGGATACTTGAGCTGAAGGTTATATTTCTGCTTGAAATACTGTGCCACTGTGCACTCCACAGTCTGTCCACTCTCCAGCTGCAAGGGAAACCTGTTTGGGGAAAGGGAAAGAAGTGTCAGAGCCCAGCATTTAATCCCAACTCTTTAGGCTTACGACCATGGGAAGCCCCAGACTTGGCTTCATCCCTATCCAGCCTCTTTGAGCACTGCCACTCATGGGAAAGCAGGCAATACACAGCTCCCAGAGTGAAGACAAAAGATTTGAGAGGCAAGTTCCACAACATTCAAGACCATATCTGACATATGCATTTCTAAGGCTGAGCATAAAGTCCAACACACAGCAGGTACTCATAGTCCAGTAGTCTGAGGTCAAGAAAGTAGATGGAATCAATGACAGTTTCCCCAAGGTCTAGCCCAGGAGCCCTGCTTTCTTTTTCAGGAGGAAGAATAAGTTGTGAGAGATCCTAACATTTACAGAACTGAGACAGCAGTCCGGAGAAGACTCCTGTTCTACAGTAAAGGCCCAAGGAGGAAAGGTGGAGACCAAGAAGGTAAAAACATTAAGGAGAGTATTAAGGATCTGGGAAGTCTGGAGGAGGGATACCAAACTCCCACAGCTTATTTTTGAAAACAGGGCTCATCCTCAGGGCTGGTAGGGCTTGGGGAGAGAGAGGGGAGTGAAAGAAGTATGTTGAAATATCAGCCCTCTTCTATCAAGGTATGGCTTAGCAGCCTGTCAACTCACGTCTGATGGCTGGCAGGGCGGCGGGTAACATTACACACACGGTATTTCCTCTTCATCTGTCCACAGTGGGTCACTTCCACCTTTAGGCCTGGGATACACACACTGCTTGTCAGGGTTGGAAAAGGCTGCTCATGCGCCCAGGCTTGGCCTCTCCCCTGGACATATCCCAAGTAGGACTAAAGACAAAATGGTGCTGTTTCCCTTCCCCACTTGGTTGGGTCCTCACCTTTGATCTCCTTGGTGAAACGCACACGCTGAGAGTCTGTGAGGGACTTGGGCTGCTCATCTATGTTCCTGATGTCCAGCACCTCACACATGAACTCAATCACCGGCTGTGCCTTGTAGAAGGCAGTGGCTGAGACTGTGGGGACAGGGCAGGTATAGCTCAGCTCAGGTTTGGTCTTCCAGAATAAATGGAGGCACTGCTCTTCACACCCTCTTCCTTATAGGGTATTGGGATGGGAGAGGGGTCCCAGGGCTATAGGGATTAGACTAGGAGTATGGTTGCAGAGCTGGGAGGGATGAGGCTGGGAGTATGGTCACTGGACTCAGGGTGCCCCTGGCTCCATAGCTCTCCCCACTCACCATCAATGTTGAGCATCATCTTCCACATGGCAGGGCGCACAGACTGGTGAAAGCCGAACCAGACCTCGCGCCCACCCCCCAGCGGGTGGTAGTAGCCCTCAGGCGGTGAGAAGAAGGAGCGGCCCACGGGGGTGTACCTGGCAGGGACAGGCAGAGAACTGGTCCCTCGGGCACAGGCCCCCACCCTGTGAGGCATCCTGGGCACGGAGGAGCCCTGGCCTGGAAGGCAGGACACCAGGGCTTTAATTCCAGCTCTGATCCTTTACTAGTTGTATGACTGACCTTGTGCAAGTCTATCTTTTCTCTGTCCTGCAGGGACAGATGGGGTGAAGGTCCAAAGATATCTATAAGGGCCAGGGCCAAGGCTTTAAACCACCTAAATGTATATGCACACTGCTTGGCATATGGTAGGGCTTCAATGAATGCTTTATTTGAAAGGCATACTGTGGGACCTTAGTATGTGCTCATTCCCCACCTCCCCGCATAGCAATTCTGCCACCACTAGTTGCCCAGATACTAACTAAACCCAGTACCTCATGGATGCCAGGTGCCTCATGGCCACATCCAGGGCTTGCACGGACTCCAAGGGAACAGGGATCTGGCCACTGACCAGCGCCTCATGCAGCATGCGCCAGCTAACAATAGCTAGCCACTTGATGGAGACCTTGAAGATTCGATCCTTCCCTTCCCCAGGGATTGTCACCTCAAAGTCAACCTTCAGAGGAAAGGAGTGAAAGATTGCCAATGCCTTCCCACAGTCCAACATTCCTTGCCCTGTCCCAGCTGTCCCGCACCACACAGATTTGCCAAGCACCTGCTCCTTAAACTGACAGGGGCTCACAAAGAAGATTTCAGACGAAATCCAGACATTTAGTCTCTAGGTACCTTAGCTCAGTACTTCTATCCTTCTCAACTTAGCAGAAGTCCTTTAGGTCTGTTTTAAGTCTTATCTCAGTCTGTTTGGGACAGGGACAGACATACACTAGGCTAAATAAACATCAGCATCTACCCATCCCTCACCCTAAAACACACTTGCTCATCATAAAAGATGAAAGGAATTTCTGGACTGCCAGACTCCAAATAGGCTTATATGAGTTCTGTACCACCCCAGACACCTGACACAGGTCTAGCCTGACTCCCAGCTTACCCGTTCATTGCCAATGGGCAGTGCTGTGACAGTGTAAATGTTCTTCTTTCCATCATACACGGGCTTGCGATCACCAAAGATCTGAGGCTTGAAATGCTGGACCATGTATTCCACCACTTCCCTGTGGGGGATAGGAGCAGCCTATAGGAGCTGAGAGACTACTACTTCAAGCTTTTGGAAGCAATTCGATGTTCAGGTAATGTCCATCCCCTCCTAGCAGCTACTCTAATCTCATCTACTCTATGGTAGTGCTTCTCAAACGTCAACATTCATATGAATCACCTGGATATTTTATTAAAATGCAGATTCTAATTCAGGTCTAGAGCAAAGCCTGAAATTCTACAGTTCTAACAAGCTATCAAGTAATGCTTCTGGTTCTCAGATCACCAAGGCTCTAAAGGATCTGAAAGAGTAGGTACATGTGCCTTCTGAGCGGGGGTGGGGGGAGGGGGGGCAGCACAGAGAGGAAAAGCACTCATTCCCAGGGTCTATCTAGAATCAGGAACAAAATCCAGGCTGCTCCAATCCCCAAGCTGAGACATAAAGAAGGTAGATGAGGAAAAGATATGAATTGGAATAGGAGTAAACTGTGGAAGAAGAACCCCATCTCTTCCATCTCTCTGAAGCCCTTAGTCCCACCACCCCATTATCACTCCGTTATCATCTCTTTTTTTTTTTTTAAGATTATTTATTTATTTATTTGAGAGAGAGAGAATGAGAGACAGAGAGCATGAGAGGGAGGAGGGTCAGAGGATCAGAGGGAGAAGCAGATTCCCTGCCGAGCAGGGAGCCCGATGCGGAACTCGATCCCGGGACTCCAGGATCATGACCTGAGCCGAAGGCAGTCGCTTAACCAACTGAGCCACCCAGGCGCCCTATCATCTCTTTCTTGATTTCACTTCCTCTCCTCTGCCACTAAGATCCCAGAATGTCCATTTATCCTTCAAAATACCATTCCATCCAACTATCTGATTTCTTCACTTTCAAAGCTCTTGAATACTACTGGATTTAAAAAACTCAAATTATACATTGTAAATAACTGTAAACACATGGTTTCAATCCCAACTAGGCTTTAGTCCTACCAAGCAATCTTTTCCATATCCCTGATCAGTTCCATCCCTCATAGACTGTGTCAAACTTTCTCCTCTACCCTCTAACTGCAGAACCCATTCCTACCTCCAATCAAAAATCAACTCTCATGACTCTAAAAAGAGAGCACAAGATAGGCAAGGCCACCTTCAAGTTCCCAGAAATACGAATAAACATATTTATATATGTACACCTCTTTTCTTTTCCCCTCACACTTGAAATGTCCCTTTCATATTTAATTTTTAAATATATGAAAATTTGGGGCACCTGGGTAGCTCAGTCGGTTAAGCATCTGCCTTTGGCTCAGGTCATGATCCCAGGGTCCTGGGATGGAGCCCCGCATCGGGCTCCCTGCTCAGCAGAGAGCCTGCTTCTCCTTCTCGCTCTGCCTGCTGCTCTGCCTAATTGTGCTATTTCTCTGTCAAATAAATAAAATCTTTAAAATAAATAAATGAAAATTTGTTCAACTTCACTCAATAGAGAAACAGAATTTAAAATTAAACCAAGATTGGGGCACCTGGCTGGCTCAATTGGTACAGCAAGCAACTCTTGATCTCAGGGTTGTGAGTTCAAGCCCCACGCTGGGCACAGAGCTTACTTTAAAAAAATTAAAAAATAAGTAAGTAAAATTAGCCCAAGATACAATTTTCTACTTATCAGAATTCCAAAGGTCAAAAAATCCAATACACTGGACTGGTACAGACAGGGGAAGAGGCACTGATACTCTGATGATGGGAGTATAAATTGGTACAACTTACCTTAAAAAAAAAAAAACTGGTAATATCTCCAAATTTTTCAATGTATTATGTCAGCAATTCTACTCCTAGGAATTTATCCTATAGATACACTCATATTTGAGGGCAAAAATGTATCTACATTTAATAATATTCAACAGTTTCACTTTTTGTAGCAAAAGGTTAGGTTAAAGCTAAGTGTTCCTCAATAGATTTATTAAATAAGTTATAATACATCCATTCAATGGAATATCTATCGAGCAATGCAAAAGACTGAGGCAGATATGCATGATCTGATATATACTGTTCAGTGGAAAAAAGGTACAGAACAAGGCATATAGAATTCTATATTTTGTGAGTTGTTTTTTTTTTAAAGATTTTATTTATTTATTTAGAGAGAGAGAGTGAGAGAACACAAGCAGGGGGAGCGGCAGAAGGAGACGGAGAAGCAGGCTCCCTACTGAGCAAGGAGCCCGATGCGGGGCTCAATCCCAGGACCCTGAGATCATGACATGAGCCGAAGGCAGATACTTAACCAATTGAGCCACCCCAGCGCCCCTATTTTGTGCGTTTTAAAAATGTTTTATATACACATATGCTTGCATATGCAAACAAAAATATATGGAAACATACTCAAGAATGGTAACAATGAATGCCTCTAGGGAAAGGGACTAGGGGACTGGAGACCAGGGTAACAGGAGATATTTTTCACTGCTGCTCTTTTTGTAATATTTTATTTATTTATTTTTATTTTGTGCATATGTAGTTTTCAAGTAATAATGAAATAAATTAATTTTGAAAAGAAATATTGCTTCGGGGCACCCAGATGGCTTAGTCGGAAGAGAATGTGACTCTTGTTCTTGGGGTTGTGAGTCTGAGGTCCATGTTGGGTATAGAGATTACTTAAAAATAAAATCTTTAAAAAAACAAAAAGAAAGAAATATTGTTTCTTCTAAGGCTAATTCCCCCAACTATGTGTCCTGTAATGTCTTCCTGCCTTAGCAATGAGTGGGAACGCATTCCTCTTCTTTCTGTCCTGTACCTTTAACTAGCTTCTTCTCCTGTTTATAAGCATATCCATGTCTCATTCTTAAAAACTTTCCATTCATTCATTTTAACAAATATTGCAATGTGCAATGCATTGTACTTGACCCCTATGAATCCTCTCTAACCAACATATTCTCTCTCTCCTCATGCTTCACTGTCAAGCTATTTAGAAAAGGCTAACTGCTCTCACTATCCCTACCACTTTACCTTCTACTTATTCCTCAACTCACTGTAGTTAGATTACTAGCCCAACTACTCTGCTGAAACTGCTTTGCAAAAGGCACCAATTATCTCCTAGTAGCCAAATTCAATGATATTTTTCAGTGTTTACCTTACCTGGAATCTCCTCCTCAAAAACTTCCTTGAATCCGGTGATACTACCCTCTACCAGTTTTCTCTGGATACTCTTTGAAGATTCTGAGACTCAGGAAAGTAAAGACTCCTGGACATCGTAGCTTAGATGTCCATCACTTACCGGTTGACTCTGCGAGGACACTTATCCGGCTTGATATCCACCTCGTAGTGGTAGACGTCAATCTTAGGGATGTCCACCTCAAAGTAATTGGCCAGGAGCTTGATTGGTTTCCCCACAGTGCCAATGCCAGGCCGGCGAGGTGCCTGGAACACCTGCTGCAGGGGGGGCAGGTAGGCGCCCGCAGCTACAAGATAAAGAGGCTGGTGAGGGCAGAGTCTAGCAATCTCCTTATCATTCTGATCAGAGAAGGCACAAGGCCTCCCAGAACAGGAACAGCAGAGTATAGGGGAAGGCTCTTTCCTGCCTACCCAACCCAAATGAGGGGTTCCACTGGCTCAGACAACCCACGTTCATTTTTTTCAAACCTCTCTCCAGTTAGGAAAATTATCCTTCTTGTCTCTCTTCAATTCATCAAGTGAATACTTAATACATTTCTATTACATGTTAAGTAGAGGAACTAAATCTGGCTCCCAATAATCAAACTTTCTTTCTTGTACTAGATTAAGACACCTGCCTCCACCAGGTATCTAGCAGACCAAGTATGCTTCTCTTCTCTGCCAGCCAGATGCTCACTTCACTCATCACCATCCTGAACATGAAATAGCAACATCTTAATGCTCCTATACAATGTAGGCAGGAGGAAGATCCAAAGGTCAGGCTAGGGGGATGTGAGAGAGACAATGTTTTAGAAAGGATTAAGGCAACTGAATGGCTGAGGTTGGAGAGACAGAAAAGTAGAAAAGGCTTAAAAAGTAAAGTTTGGAGACAAAAGAAAGGAGAGAGGCTGAAACAGGGAGCTGACAAAGACGCCACAACTGGAAATCACAGCAGAAAGAGGCTTGATCTAGGAAGGAGGGAAGGCTGGAGTTAAGGACTGGGCAACATATAGGTTAGAATTGGGAGCTTGAGCAAGAAGCAAGGCTGCAATTGGGGAGACAAGAAAAAGTTCAGAAGAAGAAAAAGCTAGGGAATGAAGACAGGAAGAAGACAGGAGAATGAGCCATGAATAGGCTAGAGTAGACGACTTGGGAAGGAGAGGCAGCCATTAGCATGCTGGAGAAGAATGAGATACTGGCTCTGAGAAGGAGAATAAGGTACTCTGCACAGCCACATTTCCTTCCACACAGAAAGCACAGATAGTAAAAGAAGGGATCAATTTCAAGATAGAGCAGGCCCCTGGGAAAAGGCTAGGGCAGAGCCAGCTTCTACTACTTTCTCCTCTCTTGCCACCAGCTAGATTGCTGCCCCTAGTTTTATTTTCTAGCTTGAGGGGAAAGGGAGGAAAAAGGGACACTAAGAGAAGCCTTTGTCCACAGCTACTATTGTCCTTGCCAGTAGAGGACCAGCCCAGGTGGGAGGAGAGAGGGATAAACCAGCCCAGAACCTCCCATCACCGTAGCTCTGCTTTCACAGTCCGCCAGGCTGGGGGATGGGGCATATCCTCAGCTGGGGGGTCAGGAAAAGGTCAGAACCATTCACGGGAGGGGCATGCTTCCCGGAGCTAAGCTGCTACATCTCCTTCTAACCACCTGTCAAGCCCAGCCCCACTCTGCAGACAGGGAAACGCAGACAGAAATGGAGGCTCAGCCTGGGCGGAAAAGGCCTTCAAGGACTCAGCTACATGGGGAAGTGAAAGCCTAACTACTAGCACCTGGGTACCTACCCCAGAAAGAGCTGGACAGAAATTGCACACAAGCAACAGATAGATGCAAACACATAGGGAGACACATTCCTGTCATACACACCCAAGCACACACTTAGACCTAGATAGTTTACCTTTATATACATACCCCTCACTGCCCTAGATGGTGAGTTCTTCAAGAGCAGGGACTGTATCTTGCCTCCTAGCATATAGGAGGTGTTCAACATACAGATATTAAATGAATGAACAAAAAGATCCACAGATACATCACAAAGAACACACATGCATACACAGCACACAAACACCTGCAAACTGCTCAAACACAGTTATAAACCCTGCACAAGATAAACAACCTGGTGGATATAAGAGATACCCTTCCCCTCCCCAAGTTTTTACATTCCATTCATCTCCTTAGCCTTCCAGGCTGAATAATCGTTTGAATTCTTGGGAAAAAGACATCCCCTAGAGCTCGGGGGTGGGTAGAAATGATGGGGGATGGGACAAACACTCTAACCTCAAAGGCTTCCCTTCCCCAGAAATAGGACCACACATCAAATTCAGCCTTAGGCACCCTCCACTCCAAGGAGGCTTTGGGAAAACAGGGGAACCCCCACCTTCCCCTTCATCCCCAAACTAGGGAAGGCAAAAGGGAGAACCTCTCTCACAACCCATCCCCCTGCAAGCCTTAGAGCTGTACAAAGTTCCCCCCCCCTCGTTACTCCACCCTGCCCCCAGCTTTTAGTCTGAGAAAGGGAGACACTTCCCTTCAAACCCAGACAGGGACAGACGGCCACTTTGTGATGCAGATGAGGGCCCCAGCACTGAGGACAAAGCTTGGGCCTTGGGGGAAAGGGGCGGGGCCCTTCCTTGCAGACAAAAGCAAGGAGGGAGGGGCCATGAAAAGGACACTCCCCCTCCCCCATCCCCAACCAGCCCTGAGAAGGAAAAGTAACAGAGCTGAAAGGCCTGGCTCAGGGATTCCTTCCCTGCAGTTTTGAGGCCCACATACCTCCTTGGGAGCCAGACTGCCTATTCAAAACACAAACTCAAGGCTGGGTTAGCTGTCCAGTAAGGAGAGACTAAGAAGCCAACCTCTCTTAAAAAAAAAAGTGTCCACACGTGAGTATACAAAAATTACTAAATATCCATATATGTGCTTAACCATTTATGTTTACACTGGAATGTGATTCAATTCAATTACTAAATGTGTACTTTGTGTCAGGGCCTAGACATTCACTGTTTCCACAAATAAATTAGATATTACCTCTACCCTCCTGGAGCTCCCAATCCAGTATATGTGCTTAGAACACACCTGAGCACAGAAAGCACATCAGGACATAGCCCAGTGAAGCCACCACCAGTACCTTTAATTTTGTGTACTGTGTCCTCCAACTTCCAAGAGAATAATCTGGGCCTAGGAAGGAGGCAGTTATGGGGTCCCTCCATTCACAGCTTCCAGACTGAATTCCAATTACACCTTTTGACGAGGCAAAGCCTGTCCCATTAGGCTACAGCCAACTCCAGATACCAGGCTCTAGTCCCTTCCCTAGAAGCTTATCTCTTGTAACAAGCAAAAAAGTCAGTTTATTCATCCCTCCAGTCCATTAGGAATTCATCAGAATGAAATCATTAGCAGTCTAATATGGGTGCCGGCTCCTAGCAATCCATCTGGACCTCTGTGACCTACTCCTAGTCTATCTAGAACACAGGTTGCTCAAATAGTCTCCAGCCTAGAAAACCAGGAGAGTTCCTAGAATGGAGAAAGAATCCTAAGGGAAGGAGAAATGGTTTTCTGAAGTCAGTTGCTCCCTGTGCTCTTCATGAAGACCTACACAGCCTTTACAAAGTCGTTTTTGTTTGGGGGAAAAGTAGTCACTAAGTACTTATAGATCACTAAAAGGATGAGCTGAGTAAATTGGTAGGAACTATCTCCTTGGGGGGGTGGGGTAAGATCTGGCATAAAAAGAATGATTCTTCTACCGGCAATGAAATTCATGTCCCAAATGAAATGGAATTCATGTCCTGAACAGAAATCCTATTTCCGGGCGCCTAGGTGGCTCAGTCGTCAAGCGTCTGCCTTCAGCTCAGGTCATGATCCCAGGGTCCTGGGATGGAGCCCCGCATCGGGCTCCCTGCTCAGCGGGAAGGAAGGCTGCTCCTCTCTCTCCCACTCCCCCTGCTTGTGTTCCCTCTCTCGCTGTGTCTGTCTCTCTCTGTCTCTGTCAAATAAATAAATAAAAATCTTAAAAAAAAAAAAAAGAAATCCTATTTCCACCCCTAGAGCAAATGGAAGGAGGTAGTGAGACAAGACCTAAAGGATTCCCAGGTCCAGAATGCTCCTCTGATCAAAGGGTAAGAGACCTAGGACACAGGAAGTGCCACCATCCCACAGCCCATCCTGGAGACTCTGATCTTGAGGTAGCCCTACCCCAGTCTCTCCTCTGTTCTCATCTTTCCCAGCCTCTCTCTGATTGCCTGTGAATAAGAAGTTAAGGCTATCACCTGGGATTCATCAGCGTGAAAGCTATAAGCTCCCCCTTCCCTAAACAACTTACTTGTGACAAAAGGCTAACTTGGCAACCTTGGGTCTAATAACATGGCCCTGACAGTTTCTGGGGAGCAGACAGAAGAAAAAGAAAAGATACCCAGTGGGGGATAGACCCACAAAAAATACTAAAGAATAGAAAGAGACTAGGCTGTCACCTGAGGAGACATTTCAATGGAAAAATCATTATCTTTGGGTTAAAATATCCCATCTCTACAAAGTATTGGACCAGAAATGAGGAAACCAGGCAGACAACCCCTTCCAGGTAAACCTGGTCCTGGCCTTGCTCCCTCAGTAACCAACACCTTTTCTAACTCCTCTCTTCAGGGGGAGGACATTGCCTTGGTCCCAGTCTTTACTCATCCCAGGGACATAAGGCGGCATTTTGGCAGGTTCTCTCAACCCCTTCTTGGCAAATTGTGACTGAGGGTTTCCAGGATCAAGTGTAAGAGCCCCAAAGATGGGGAAGGGGGCCATTTCTATTTGCACTCTGCCAACTTAACCTTAAGAGAGAATGCGCCCCATCAGCGGGCTCCTTTTTCCAAGCCAAATCGGGCGGGGTGGGGGGATTCGGGCAGCCACGCCCCCACCACTTCGGGCTGCCACTTCCAGCTGCCACCTCCGCGCATGCTCGGGCGCCTCCGCTCCAGCTCCCCAGACTCACGGGGGGGAATCCCAGGACTGGATCCCCACCCACCGCCCCCTGACCCTCGCCCCCGCGTCAGGCCCGGCTGGGGCGGAGCTCACAGCCCAGCTCTGGCGCCTTCTCCCAAGAGACATTAGCCTACCCCCGCCCCCCGGCAAGCAGCCCCACTGGGCCCATCTGTGTCGACCCCCTCCTCTCCTGGACACCTGGAGCCCGCCCCCTGCCACCTGCCGGGCCTCTCCCTAGGCCTCCCGGGATCTCCGGGAGTCCTTACGTGCGTTCAGGCCCTTCTCCCAGATTACTTCCCACCTCCAGGAGTGCATACAGTCTCCTTTCATAAACAGCCCCCTTCTTAGGGCTTCCTTCACAAGGTTTCCCCCGGAACTGCATACAGCCCCCTTCAAACTGGGCCCCCCATCCCCTAAGAACCCCTCTCCTCACTCAGGAAGCCTTTCCTCACTCGGAAATCCTGTTCTTCACGCGGGAGTCCCCCGGTCCTTGGAGCACGCACCGTCCCCCACTCCCGGGGGCCCTTACCTGCTCCCGAGGGTCCCGCTTCCATCCCATATACCCGTGCGGAGGTCAGGCGGCCCGGAGACTGTGGAGTCCAGAGTGAGGGGCCTAGGTACCCCGCACTCTAGCTGCTCGGGCTTCCGGGCCGGGCTCGGCACCCCCCCCCAAGCCCGGCCGCTCGCGCCGCTGCCCCCGCAGCCTCCGTTGCCGCCGCCGCCGCGGAGCCTGCAGCAGCTCCCCCTGCTAGCGCCCGGCCAGCTGCCAGTGCGCAGGCGCGACCGCCAGGCCCAGGGGGCGGACGGGAACGAGTCAAGCGGGGCGCTCCGACGGCAACAAAGGCCAATGGAGAGGGGCGGGAGCACCGGGGACCCGAGGCAGCGGCCCCTGGCGGTCACCCGTCGCCATGCAGCCCGGCGGGAGGGCTCCGGTAGAGGCGCCGCGGAACGGCGCAGCGGCGTAAGTGGGGTGGGGCGGGGAGGGGGGGTGTCTGCCCCCAACCCCCCGCAGCAGCCTTTGGCCGTGTGTCTTTTCCCCAAACAGGTCTCTCCAAACCTACATACAGCCTTCCCCCTTTGCACAGCCACACGCACATTACAGGAACCCCACCTCATTCCCAGACCCCCCTCACACACTCCGAGCGCCCCATCACCCAGGGGCCCTGCCTCCCACCTCTCCTCCCAATCACCCTCATCCTTCCAGCCTCGGCTGCAAAGCGACTGCCTCCGCGAAGCCTTTCTCCGTCCCTAGTCACTGAACTCACTGACGCCACCCTCTCTTCCAGGCCGATTGCTGGGCGCTGGGACCGCAAACGAAAGAGACCCTGTCTACCCTGGAAGATGTCACAGTCTCAACTTAAGTGCGGCAACAGAGTTCTATCTGCGGGACCTGGGAAGCACCTGCCTGCATTTTTTCATCCAGAGCTCACCCCTGAACTCTGTCAATCTGCTTCTGTCCTCACCACGTCACTTAAAATACTTTTTGTGTCAAAATTCAAAGGATAATTTTCGATTCTTATTTCTCCGCAGCATCTGGCACTGACCTCTCCTTCCTTTTTGAGCCTTACTTGGCTTCAGAATTTTCTAAGCTCTCCTATTGCCTAAATCTTTTTCAGTCTTCTTTCAAGGGTCCCGTGTTGCTTTTTTGCCCCATTAAATAACTGTTCACTGTGGGTTCAAATCCACCTCTCTTCTCATTCCACCCTCTACTTTTTCCATGAAGGTCTCATCCATTCTTGTAGCTCAACTATCCCTCCAAATCTCTATCTCCAGCCACGTCTTAGACTCGTATTTCCAAGTGTATGCTGGACAGCTCCACCTGGATCTCCAGCACTTCAAATTTGGAGTCCAAAATCAAACTCGTTATCTTTCCCCCACAAATGTACTTGTTCTGTGCCTCCTTTCTCTGCAAATGGAGACAGTTTCCAGAAATGACAATTTCTCTCCCTTGCTTCTTGCCCCCATTCAGCTGTTCACCAAGTCTTGACATGTTTACCTCCTGACTTGCTCCCACATGACCCTCCACCATTCTGCAGGCTCCTTGTGCTAGTGCAGATCCTTGATGCTGGTACATACCTCGCCAAAAGTAAACATAGCCACTTCCTTGCTAATCTCACAGTTTCTGGGAACATTTCTCTCATTCAGTTTGCTGCAGTTGAGAGGTGGTAAGAGACCCAGCTCAAACATCACTTTCCCATATATTTATATGTATTCAACCACATATATTTTTTGATGCCTACTTTACACTAGATGCTGTGCAGAGGGCTAGAAACTTAAGAGAAAGATCATACCCAGTCCCTACCCACAGGGATATTAATTTCTGACACTTACCATAGTGTGCCTTGCTTCTCTCTAGCAGAGGTTCTCAAATAGCAAGCATCAGAATCACCTGGAGAGCTTGTTAAAACAGATTGCCGAGCCCCACCTCCAGAGTTTGTGATTCAGTAGGTCTTGGGTGGAACCCAAGGATGTTCATTTCTTTTTTTTTTTTTTTTCCTTCAGGGTGCATTTCTAATAAGTTGCTAGATGAGGCTGATGCTGCTGATCTAGGGAACACACTTTGAGAACTAGTGCTCTAAAGCATAGGGTTAAGAACAAAGACTTCAGAGCCAGCCTGTTTTGGCTTTAATCCTGGTGCTGCCATTTACTAGCTGTGTAACACCGGGCAAATTACTTACTTTCTCTGTATCTCAATTTCCTCCTCCCCCATTTTAGGAGGTAGAAATAGCACCTACCTCATTGGTCTGCTGTTAATACACATAAAGACCTTAGAACAGTACCTAGAAGAATGCAGACAAAATATTAGTCACTACTGTAATCACTATCTGCCTATTGCACTGTATTCTAAGTTCCCGAAGAAAAGAGACCAAATCAGATGCATCTCCGTCCCCCTTTAGTGCCTGGCATAAGCTGTGCCTAGAATGATCAGTAAATATGGGTTGATCTGAATCAAACAGATGGCATCAAAACATCCTCAGAAATAGCAGGACCTCTGCCTTGGCATAACTAAGCTAGAAGCTCAGCATTCCATTAGAAGAGTTGGAATCCCCTGTTCTAAATACCAAGTCTCACACTTAACTTTGTGGAAAGGCACTGGTCACTATTCTGACTCCTCTCCAAGTGGCTAATGGAGTCAAGCCTGGCCCTGGCCTTTCTGTTGTTTCTGCAGACCATCTCCATCATCAAGGATTTCACTCTAGGCTAGGCAAAGAGGTAGAGTTTAAGGGAAATCCTCATAGCATTTTGGTATTTTTATGCACACAAACTTCTTCCAGTAACTCCTAATGTGCTTTTCCCAGAAAGCTACTGGGTCCTTGGCTATTTGTAGTTCAATCCTTGCATCTCAGTCCACGCTAACTCACACTCAAAGGCCTCTGTTGTGTGGGCCAGAGCCCAGGTCTTTCCACTTATATACCTTCTCTACAGCCAGAGTTTCCTGGCCACAAAACAAGAATGGCCTGGGAAAAAAATTGCATCTCCATCTATAGTTTTCTTTTTTTATATCTAAAATACAGTCTGGGAACAACGAGATCAAAGTCCATCTATATTTTCCTCTTTTTATATTTAAAACAGTCTGAAAACAATGAGATCAAGGTATTGTAATAGACATAAAACAAATCATATACCCTACTATCAGGAAATGAATCACCAGCTGCTCTTGCATGCACCATCTCTTTTTATCTATAATAAATATATCTCATATATTTCAGGAGATAATTTTAAAAATCAGAAATCATGAACATTAGAATTAATAAATGTCAACTGGTACTTTAAAAAGACATGAAACTGGTAGACTTTTAAAAAATTATTATTTTTTTTAAAGATTTAGTTGAGAGAGTGTGCATACGCAAGCAGTGGGAGGGGCATAGGGAGAGAGAATCTCAAGCAGATTCCGCACAGAACTCGGAGCCAGAGGCAGGGCTCTATCTCACGACCCTGAGATTGTGACCCAAGTGGAAATCAAGAGTCCAACAACTAACAGACTGAGTCCCCCGAGAAGACCTCCCAAAATTACTCTTTTTAAATTGGGTTATAAATGACATATAATAAATTGCACCTACATAACGTGTACAATTTAATCAGTTCTAACTTATGTGTCAACCTGTGAAACCATCACCACAATCAGGGTATGGAACATATCTACCACTCCCAAATTTTAAAACTTATTACAAGGAATAAACAAAAGGTAATTTTTTACATACCTACAGACTAATGAATTTGAAACCCTAAGTAAAATTTAAAGTTACATACATACTTTTTCTTCAAAAAATGAAAAACAAGGTTCAAAAACAAAAATTGAGCAACAATTATAGAAGACACTGAGAAAGTTATCAAAAGCGACCAAAGAACATCTGGCCCAAAATGTTCACTGTTGAATACTTCCAACCATTCCTGGGGCCCCTGGCTGGCTCAGTCAGTGGAGCATGTGACTCCTGATCTCGGGGTTGTGGGTTCAAGCGCCATGTTGGGTATAGAAATTACTTAAAAATAAAATCTTTAAAGAAAATACTTCCAACCATTCCTGAAAGAAATAATTCTGTTCCAGTTATATGAATGGTTCTAGGACATGCGAGGAAGAGGAATTTTCCTAATTTGTTCACAGTTGCAGATAAAGATCTCATCTCTTATCAGATGATGATATTATAAAAAGAGATCTCAAGAATATGGAGGATGCAAATGTCACAAGTCAAATATTAGCATATAGAATTCTATAAGAGATTAATTAAAATTTATTATGATAATAACAGCTAACATTATTTTTTTTGTTTTTTTTATTTTATTTTTAAGTAAACTCTATACCCATCATGGGTCTTGAACTTACAACCCTGAGATCAAGAGTCACATGCTCTACCAACTGAGCCAGCCAGGTGCCCCAACAATAACTAACATTACTAGATATTTACTTAATATTAAGTTCCAGGTACGATTCCAACGCTTTACATATGTTAACTCACATACTCCTCACAAAAATCCTGGTGCATCATAGAACAAATAGGTGGGTTTGGGCTGAGAAGCAATAGGTAAATAACCAGCATAGGCAGGTACTATTATTAACAGTGGAGACACAGTGGAGCGCCTAGGTGGCTCAGTTGATTAAGCATAAGATTCTTTTTTTTTTTTTTTTAAGATTTTATTTATTTATTTGACAGAGAGAGACAGCAAGAGAGGGAACACAAACAGGGGGAGTGGGAGAGGGAGAAGCAGGCTTCCGCCCGAGCAGGGAGCCCGATGCGGGGCTCAATCCCAGGACCCTGGAATCATGACCTGAGCCGAAGGCAGACGCTTAACGACTGAGCCCCCCAGGTGCCCCTAAGCATAAGATTCTTGATTTAAGCTTGGGTCATGATCTCAGAGTCCTGAGACAGAGCCCCATGTCAGGCTCCACACTGGGCATGGAGTCTGCTTAAGATTCTCTCTCTCCCTCACCCTCTCTCTCTGCTCCTCCCCCTACTTGTGCACATGTTCTCTCTCTAAATAAAATCTTTAAAGATAAAAAAATAAGGGCGCCTGGGTGGCTCAGTTGGTTAAGCGACTGCCTTCGGCTCAGGTCATGATCCCGGAGTCCAGGGATCGAGTCCCACGTCGGGCTCCCTGCTCGGCAGGGAGTCTGCTTCTCCCTCTAACCCTACCCCCTCTTGGGCTCTCTCTCTCACTCTCTCTCAAATAAATAAATTCTTTAAAAAAAAAAGATAAAAAAATAAATAAAAATGGAGACATAGATAAGTAATTTGCCTAAAGATCACACAACTTGTAACTAGCAGAAGCAGAACTTTAACTCAGGCTGG